TGCTCTTTAGTTCCTGATATTTAGGTTCAAGTTCCTGAAAAACCTGAGTTTGTGCCATTCGGAAGAGATGTGTGGCTAGATCAGTGAGGTGTCTTATTATAAGCAGTAGTCATGCATTCCAGCTCTATAGAGCAAGCAGGATACTCACCATTACCTCATCTCTGTTCTAGGTGAAGGTGATAGGAAGATTTGTTTTAAATTTAGATGTGAACAGATAATTACCTTCCTCTTTAGGCTCCTGATTACATTACTTGCTTCTCTAGTTTTTAAATGTTTATAATGACTGATGGAGAAATCATTTACTTTATGAGGTAAAGTAGAAAGTAAACAGATGAAAAAAATTATAAATGTTTTCAGCAATTGCTTTCAATATCACAGGATCAAAGTTATAATCCCCATTAGGGAAAAAAATGATTTTTTTTTTATTCAGCAGGGGACAGCAAAAAGATGTCTGGCTTTCATTTCTTTGGCTCAAATGACTACCAAGTTCTGAGTTTGTGTAAGACAATGAGATAATTGATGTATTGAAGGGCCAATTATGACATACTGTATTTACATGCAGAAATATATGCATACTTAGGTGTGAAAGATTACACAGGTAAATAGATTGAATATTCCTAGGTATTAATCATACCGCATAGATGGTTGAATACTGCAGCACTTCTTTATTACAATATTGACGATCCCACAATCCCACAATATAGCCAGCATTTTATAGTACAGTACTGATGTTGATTTTTTTTTTTAAAAAAAAAAGATGGGACGGATGGGAGGAATTCTTCAACATATACATCCTCAGTATGTAAAGAAGTTTTACTTGCTTTGTGTTCATCTGCAAATCAATAATTATAGACCATAAGAAATTTCCCAGAATGTCTACTCCCAAACAAATGTTCAGATATGGTTTGATTCTGAAGTTTTCCATTTCAGAATTGTTAATGGTTGGGGAAAACTGCAGCCAGGTTCCATAGCATGCAATTTACAGGGCTATTTTACCTGTGAGAGTTGGGTGTATGGATGTTTTTCTGGTGGGTTTTCAACAATTTTACTTGCTTTTCTTTTTTGCAGTAAGGAACAAGCTGGCCCAAGTTGGTGGGCTTGCTGACAGCTTCCTTCCATCTTGACCCATGCTTAGTGCAGTCTGCATTGGGTGGTACGGAGCCTTTGCCAGTGTTTCCTCGGTTGCAAAAAGAGCATGTTAAGTGCAGTGTGCTTCCCTTTTCTGATCCCACACAGACACGTCTTCTGCCTCCGAAGATGAAGGTTCGCTCAGGCGCCAGGCTGCTCTATCTGCTGCATTGCATCAGAGCTTACAGAATGCTGAGTCATGGATCAACCGATCTATTCAGGGGTCATCCACATCTTCATCAGCATCTTCTACACTATCCCATGGAGAAGGCAAAGGGACCAGTGGGTCACTAGCTGATGTATTTGCCAATACTCGAATAGGTAGGAGCTGGTGGGGTTATGGACAGTGTAACTAAACATTTCAAATATTTATTTTTCTGTAAAACTTTAGAAATCTCCCCAGTGTCAAAACTCAAAATTATGTCCACATTTTTTTCCCTAAAAGCCTGGCAATGTTAAGCATGATTTTTGGAGAAAAGACTCCATTGGAAGAGAGAGGAAAAGAAAGGGAGAAGCCTTTTGTCATAATCATCATGAAACATTTGCACAGCAGCCTGGCTAATTTTTTTATGCCACTGGTGTTTCTGATGCTTGGAGCTGCTCTTTATGGTCAGTAATTTCACTTCCAAGCCAGCAGAAGAGAGTACAATAATCCTCGTGTCCTGTGCTATTGTAGATGTCTGCCCCTTAATCATCAGTCAGAGGTTTATGTTTATGCCACAATGAGATTTGCCTAATAGTGGGATCTTGGGGAGAAAAGAGTCAACTTTATCACTCTTATCACCAGGAAGAGATTTTATACCTCTCCAGTGACTGAGTACTTGTATACAAAACAGGTTTTTTGGGGGTTGTTGATGATTTCAGCTCTTTCCAAGAAAGAAAGTAGGAAATGACCCACCTGTCTTGAGTAAAGTTACATTGCTTTTGGGGACCCTGAACCATAGACCCTGAGCTGCCTAGAGTAGTCCCCCACGGTAAGATAGGCAGCAAATAAATTTAACAAACAAATTTTCCCCAGCTCAGTGGTACATATTTGTTGGGGCATGTATAGATTTGGATACCCCAGGCTCAGTTTTTTGACGCTCTGAGGTGCTCCCTGCCGCTGGTGCTGCTGTGTGAAATTTTGTAGGGTTTGTTTGGCTCCATCATACATGTTTCTGTATTAACGTGTCCCAAACAATATTGTTGCATCTCAAGGGGTGCCTGTGTCTTTGTGTGCTGTCTGCTTTGGCTTAATTGATTTCAGACAAGCATTGTGTAGATACTTGGTGTCTCTTAATTGCTGCTTTTTATTTCTTTCAACCTATATGTTGCTGCTGTCTTTCTTTCTTACTTACTTACTGGGATGTGACTCATTTTCTAAAATGGAAAACTTGGGGGGGGGGGGTTTACCTGTTTAAAAGTCCATCACCATAAATCACGCTTTCTTCAAATAAAGAGATTCTCATTAAAATGATGGTAAAACGTGCCTTCAAATTGGAACTCTTGGCTGTTCAGTTGTTGAATAACTGATGTCAAATTGATGTTATAAAATGCACCTCTTTCTTTTGTAAGAAACATGTTAGGAATATTAAGAACAGCTAATGAAAAGCAAGGTTTCCAGTAATATCATTGCATTTCAATATAAAAATACCAATATTTGTAGCTCAGGGTTAAACTGCAGAGTTCTTGGTTATTTTATGAGCTTGGTTGTTTGCTTGCAATCATTTCATTACCCAACTAGTTACTGTTATATATACTGCATATAAATGACAGAAACCTCACACTCACTTGCACTGATGATGTTATCTAGTTGAGTAATAAAATATCTGTAAGCAAACAAGCTCAGAGAGAACCAAGAACTCCACAATACAGAGACAGATACTAGTAATCAACTATAAATATAAGAACATTTTAAAATGTTAGGGCATTTTCACATTTATAAAAGACAGTCATGGTTAACCTCAAAACAACAGAACATAATTTGATTGATTGATTTAATAAACACAACTCACAGAGACCAGTGGTTAAAAGAACAGAAACTGATTGATCATGCATTTGCTCAACATTTCAAGCAATAAAAAAATCTACTTTTGGTTTGATATGTTTCTGAAGTATAATGTAATATTTATATTTGTATAGATACTTGTTCCTGAAGTACCAAATTCCTAGTTCTGAAGCATGGGCCTTTCTGAAAGCTTGTTTTCATACTGTTTTGGCAGCCGTGTGCCAAATTCAGCCTGGATTGACCAAAACCGAATTCAATGGTTGTTAGCAACAGCAGCAGCAAAAATGAAGCTGTTTCCCCACGGACTGACATAATCTGATTAAACTTTGAGTTTCTTTCTTCTAACCACTTCACACAAGTGAGAACTGACTCTTGGACAAAACTGAAGTAGATGCTCTTGGACAAAACTGAAGTAGATCAGAACACTTTTGAAAGGTGGGCTGAAAAGACTGGCATTAGTCGAACGAGTGCAACAGTGAAAATCTTACCCTGTTTGAAAGCAGGACGATGTTTCTATCTTATATTTATGTCTCAGTCTATGTATTGGAGAGTAACTCATTGTCCTTCAGTTCCTTATCCAAGTGAAAATATGCATCTACATTTAGGTCCAAAACAATTCAACATTAAAATGCAGAAAGCAGTTCAGCAAGGTACATATAATAAACACTCTGTCCATCTCAGTATTTGTACATTTAGTGACTAATAACATTGGTGAGCATAATATTCATTAACAAAGTAAATTGTGTATGAGCTTTTAATTTGTGTGGCTAATGATATATGTGTAGATATAAGTGAACTTGTATTCTTTGTATATACCAATGCTGTAATCAGAATATGCTTCCTACAGAAATTGAATATTTGATTTCTAATGTTATATAACCTATTTTAATACTATATATATATCCTCTTACCCTAAAGTGCTTTCCCAGTAGCTATAGCTCTTAAAAGTAATTTTCTTTAGAAATATATATGTCACAGAGAAATGTAACCTGTATAATTATCAATTACTACTAGTGTATATTTTTTTCTTATGTTCAATCACGTCCAGTTCTTGGAGACTGCCTGGAAAAATCCCTTCAGTTTCTTGTCAAGGTTTTTCAGAAGTGTTTTGCCATTGACTCCTTCCTAGGGCTGAGAGAAAGTGACTGGCTCGAGGTCACCCAGCTGGCTCCCAGCAGTGTATTAGAAACAATTATATTGCAATTCAGTAGAAGGACAGAGAATATAAAAGTGTAGAGAGGCTTTGCAGTAATCCAGTCTAGAATTATTTTACTCAGTAGTGTCAATATCATTGTTTTTGTTGCAATTTAGAAACTTAGTGAAAATCTGTATGTTTGTAAAAGGAGTTTAAGTTTAAGTTCTTCCTATTACATGCAGTTAGCTAGATGAGTTATAGAGGTTTTAATGACCTTTTCCCATCACATGTTTGCTGAGTTAGACTGAACAATCTGAAAGAATCCTACAGTTCATAATAGTAGTTTCGTGGACAAAAATTATCCTCTTGCCCTTAGGCACAGTTCTTACCTAGGCAAAAGAGAATACATTTGATATGATGGTATAGTATACTGTTTTTTCCTGTCTCTTGAACATTGCTGCGGACATCTTAAATCAAATTCAGATAGTCCCTTTAACCTTGGAAAAGAGACATGATCTGTTGGTTACCAAAGCAGAAATGTGAATTGGCATGAATAACCAAATGGAAAATAAAAAATGAAACTTAGTATGCATCATGTTCTCTCTCCTTTGTGGTTTTTGTCAAGATAATTGAACCAAAAACATGCCCTTGCATCAGAAAAGGGAAGAATTGTGAATGTAACCAGTCTCCTCTTGGGTCATCTTGTAACAAGAAGTAACCTGAATCTGACTTTTCTCCCTTGATCCTCTTTTCAGAGAATTTTTCAGTTCCCCCGGATGTTACTGCAACTACCTCCACACCCGCCTCTTCTGCACGCCCATCTGCTATTGACCTTCCTCCATCGGGAATAGTGAAGGGCATGCACAAAGCATCCAACCGGTCCAGCCTTATGGACACAGCTGATGGTATATCTGCAGAACCACAATGCTGTATTGTCCCCCCAAAATAAAATTAAGCAGAAATCAGCCATTTAATGTCACAGAATTCTGAAAGGATAACATATGGGAGTTTGTAACTCAAATGTGGCAGTAGGGGGATCTTGGTAACACGGAATCCTTAGTTCTAGTGCCCATTGCTTCTGTGTAAAAATAACTATATGTATTTAAGAAAAAAAGGTTTCTATTATTTAGCTTAACTTTCCTTAGCATGATGCCTCCCAGACTTCATAGCTATCATGGTCTGTGAGTAGGTTAACTACCTGGAGTAGCATCACCAGGATGGTTTGATGTGTTTTATGATGAAAGATACCGTTTCTGCAGGGAAAATGCTTGCAGTTTTCAAAAGAGTCAATCCCAACTAAACTCGTGAGCAGAACAGCTAACCCTGTATAACCACCAACATTTATATTTGTGTTGCTAGGATAGGCAGAAACTATTGAGTTAATTCTCAGTTGGTTTTTCCTTTGTAAAAGGAAGAGGGGGAAATCAAATCTGTAATTTTGTGAAAAACAAAAGGGGTTTGCCTTGGTTCTTGAAAGTGTGCAAAGGTTACATCATTCAAATTTGAGCATACAACAACAATAAAGAAAAGGGGGAGATGATTTTGGGATAGTCAAAATCAACCAAGCCAAAGGTCTTATTTAAATTTCTGACACAGTATTCATTAGTAGAATTTTGCTTTCTATACAAAATCCTATTAAATCCTCAGGTAGGAAGTGTATTAAGAGGTTATATTTTGTAATCATTTCTGGAGACACGTAATACTTTAATACATCTTTTATAGAATAAAAGATTATTATTTTTATAGGCAAAACAAAATTTTTCTGATGAATACAAGGCAAATGTATTGGCAAAGACTTGAATTTTATTGACTTTTCTTGCTTAACTTCTTTACATTCTGTTTCATACTTCTTTGATTATATGACAAGCTGAGTTATCTACATCTGCAATCCTGTGTAGGAGAACAAGCTGCCAAAGCCTTTGTCGTATATTTGAGAGAGACACACACATGATCACTGCTTATTGACTTAAAATAATTAATAAGCTTAAGCCTGAATGGAATTTTAGGCCTGACAGTTGGAACTGTAGAGAAGGAGTTTTCACTCCTTAAGAATCAAATAAATATTTGCATGCTCTGTAGTTTGGCACATGGGAAAAGGACCCTCCATCAGCTAGGTAAAAACATTAAAACTCTGTTTGCCAGTTTCCTACATCTATTAAAAATCCAACAGAGGAATCAGAAAGAAGAAAGTTGTTATTTAAAATAAAACATAGAAAACTTGCTAATTAAAGCTATCAAGTGGAATTATTCCTTGAGGATATTTTCAAAGTTGACATTCCACAGCAGGATCTGGGCCTTGATTGTTCACCAGCTTGTTTGAAGTCAAAGCAAGTTCACCCACAGCAGGTTTTCCTTTGAGGTAGGGGAGTAGATAGGCAGATATGGAATTATTTCCACAGAGGAAATTTCAAAATGGCAAATTTTCAGATATTTGATTCATATAGAACCTGTGTAGCACAAGGCTGGATTCTAGGAAAATCAACCTGCGATACAATTTTATGTGAGTTTTGGTTTGGATATCCCCAAGAATATTGTTTGTTTTGGGCAGTGTTTCTTAACCTTAGTAACTTTAAGAAATGTGGACCAGCTCCCAGAATTCCCCAGCCAGCAATTCTGGGTGTTGAAGTCCACACACCTTAAAGTTGCCAAGGTTGAGAAACACTGGTTTAGGGTAATAGCTTAGCACACGGGTGTCAAAACTGGATCGCGTCACGTGACGTCATGACGTAACCTTTTTGCCTTTGTGGAGCCGGGGTGGGCATGGCCTGCGCTTGATGCATCCGGCCCATGGGCCGCCAATTTGACACCCCTAGTTTAGCAAGAGAGGAAGAGAAACCTAATCTGTCACACTGAAACGTTTTTGTGCTTTTCAAAGAACTGGTGATTATTAGATCAGTAACCTAAATTTGCTCACCTTTCCCAGAAATTGCAAATATCTTCACTGCCACAACTGAGGTTAGCCTTTCAGTTTACGTGTGAGCAGAATATATTTGCTTTTTAAGTTGTGTCCGGTTACCCTAGACAGTTCTTGCAGTTGTCAAAAATATAATTTATGCCCAGAGATTTTCCTTTCCTATTCTTTCCTGCTACACTATTGGTGCTGATTTTTGTATCCCTGGGAAGAGCCAAAACCTGCTGTCTGATTTGTCATGTCCCATTGTATGGAATTCTTTTTGCTGTTTTAAGTCAATATTTCTGGGAATTTGACAAAATACATTTCTTTGATACAACTAGGAATGTATGGTTGGAATAATCACAAGTTAGTGTCACTTTTATTGTGTTTTCTGAAGAAGAATAACATGAGCTTTATTATGGATCCCTTCCCATTGTTAATTACCAAATAATGGCTATAGGAGTAAAAGATTAAGAAAGTGAAGTTTGGCATATAAGTAATGAAATTTTGTTTTTAAATAAAATTGGAAAAGTTTTATTTTCTTTCTTTTAAAGAATTAGTCCTGTGTAGTAGAGTACAAACATCAGAGATAAAGTGGATTTGTCGAACAATTTCTTGGATGGATTCTGAACATCAGAGCCTCTGTCTTTTTTCATATTGGATAATCCCTTATTGTTTTTTCTCTGCAGTCACAGTTGCAATTTGCATTAACATTTGTGTAAAACAAGTATATTACTTATGCAATATCAGCTGCTACCATTGAAACCAAAGGTAGATTTTTTTTCAGTTCTTATCTCTGCACCTAAATTCCCACAGGATTTCTTGTTTTGTTTTGTGAGATCTCTGCTTGTCGTAACATGGCTTTTTTCACCCTTGCTCTGTTTCTGTTTTTAGAAACTATTTGCTTTAGAAACAAATTTTGCAGTGGAAAAAAAAAGATAGCTGATTTCATGTGTGTGAATTAAACATTTTTATTAGAAAGTTTGGATTGCTCATTTTGAAGTAAAAAATACAAAGGCAAAGCAACTGATTTGTATGTTTTACTCCTACAACCATGTTTGGTATTTAAAAAAGGGCTTTTGATATTGCTCATTTATTCAGCCATTTCATCTCTAGAGAAGTGATTTTGTCCCACTTTTCAGCGCAACTGTTTTCCATGTTAAAAAGAACGTATAATTGATGTGTCCTAGTTTATAAGGTGTTTGTAAAATGCCTGATCTGGTGGAGTTTGCTTACTTAAAGATTGGGGAGGGGAACCCCTAAACTATTGTAGCTGTAGAACTTTTGCTATAAGTAATCCAGGGTTAATAATGGTAATTGGGACCCAGAATTACTGTCAGTAAGCAATGTGTCATATGACCACATGGCTTAGAGACGGAAATCCTAGCAGTTCCTATCACCATCATTAACTGAATCCCACTGGTCATTAGGTAAAGACCCAACCTGATCAAAGCCATTCCTGGCTGGGTCCCTCCCAGCCCTGAGCCTCAGTAAGGGACTACTTCCTCTTAAACTCCACCCACCAGCTACATCTGCGCCCCCTCATTTCTGTCCCCTTCTGAATGCCCTGCACAGTGACACTCCACAGCAGGGATGACAATGCTACACTGGGGCTGAAACAGGCCCAAGGCTTTCAACAGCTGCCCCTGCCCCTGGGCCTCTAATTTAGCCCCAGTCCTACTGAGGAGTGCCGCCTCAAGCAGCTTCCTGCTGCAGGTAGCCGCCAAAGGGACACAATGCAAAATCCCAGCTGCCCCTCCAACCTGCACTCCATTGGGTCTTGTGCTCAGCTGATCTTCTTCATTATCTTCCTGCCAAGGCTGACAAGGCACACCTGGCCTGGCCCTATGCAAAGCAGTTGCTGTCTATGCCATGCTTTCTTCCTGAGGCCGTGTGCACCCTTCTTCTTCTCCTCCCAATGCTTCGTAAAGATCGTGAGGCATTCTGTTTATAACTACTTATAAAAATTTTATACATTTTGAGGGCTGGGTGTATGTGCCGTTCATTCAGTACCGCTGTAACTTTGAATGGTCACTGAACAAATGATCATTAAACAAGAATTGCCAGTAATGGTGTAATAGGGTGTTCATGCTTTGGAAATGATTCAGAAAAAATGCTTCAGACCGTGAGCACTTTTGCCTTGCTATTCACTGAAATGGCCTAATTTTCTCCATGCTTCCACTGAAGCCTGAAAAAAGAGTCTACTGCTTTAAGGAACCTGCTTATTAAAGGTAGCATGGCTGTTAAAGCAAAGGCACTTTTTTTCTCCCATTCATGCAGAATCCTGAAAAGGAATGAGGGTTCTTTATTCTGTATAGCAAAATTGTATTGTGCAATGATTATTGAAGTATGTAAAGCCTTTGAAGATAATTGTCTAGCTTTTAATAAGTCTCCAGTTGTCCTTGCACCCTCTGGTGGTCATGTCCTAAGGCAATACTAGCAAAATAGTCTTGAATGCAGCTGTATCTATTCAGCCAAACATTGCTGATCAGCCAGGAATTGGGGTCTGAAAAATGTTAATACATGCCATGATTTGTAACCCTGGGAGAAACACAAGGTATCTTGGATAACATCCAGCCTAGGACACAATAAACCTATATATCCTGCGTGATGCCTATATTAATGGTGGATTTGAAAAGCAGAAAAATAATCAAATATTAGTAAAAGGTCTTCTGAAATATTCAGTTTATTCTACATTTGGACTTTATCCCAAATATAAGATATCTTTAAATATCTTTAAATATCTATGAGTTCTGTTATCTCTAAAATTACAATTACACATATTTTACAAGGGCTCCCATTTCTGAGCTTGCAAAAATCTGGAGAGCAGCAACATTGGAGTTCTTTGTCAAGTGGTCAGCCAGAGTTTTGTAGCCCAGATGTTATAGGTCTACATTTGCTCATATTTGATGTATTTCTGGTATACTGAACTCATTTCCTATACTGTAGGTGTCCCTGTAAATAGCAGAGTCTCCACAAAAATTCAGCAGCTACTCAATACTCTGAAGCGACCTAAACGGCCACCTCTGAAGGAGTTCTTTGTGGATGATTTTGAAGAAATTGTGGAAGGTAGATGGATTGGGTATTTTTCTAAGGACTATATTGTGGCTATTATCATATACCAGTGTATTCTAAGCTCCTTTTGCTCACTTTTGCTTTACTTTAAATCTTAAAATCCATTAATTAATTAAAAGTCTTTTCCTTGGCCTATGTGTTGAGAAAAATTTATGAGTAACTATCTCAGGTCAACAGAAGAACCACTAAGTGACTAGGAATACATGGAATATGAAGCTGTTGATTCCAGTGCCAAGTTTATTTAAAACGGTATTTAATTGAGGGTATGCCTTTATTGGATGTAATATTGTCCTATAAAAATATTCATATGGAATAAATGTTCTTTGAAGATCAAATTCCTTGAACTGAAATCACCTGATATGTTTTTTTCTTGGATTTTAATAAAACACATTTTGTCTCCTCTTTCTTTTTTATTAATATAGTTATTTCTTTATTCCTTATTCCATTATCTGTTCCCACTTCAGAATTTTCTTCCCTGTTGCTCTATATAAGAAATAGTTTCTCTTTATTTCTCAAAATTGCAATCTTCTTTGCTTCTCTAAATGCCATCCAGTTTGGCTCCATTTTTGCCCTTTTCTATCTTTGGTGGGGTTTTTTAAAAATCAGGCCCTATTAAAATTTTCTGGATATGAATTTTAACCTTGGTATTCAATATTGCATCTAATAGATGGTTCACACTATACAATATAATTATATAGTAGCAGCAACAGTAAATAGTAGGTTTCTACCAAACGAAGTTGGATTAACAATATAGTTTTCTAGGTTTGAAAGAACACACGTTTCCTATCTCCTATTGTGAAACGTTTTTCCTTAGCAACAAATATATTCAAATTGCTTTGACCTTTAACAATAGTTTTGAAAACCCTAATTATTAGAACCATTGGAGGGGAAGAGTGGGGAATACTTTGCATCACTAATAGGGGGAGAGGTAGAGTTTATTAACATTTTTAGAACATTGTTCCATTTTGTGAATGGTTTTAACGTTTGATTGGATGATGTTTTCTTCGTAGTTCCACAGCCAGATCCTAATCAGCCCAGACCTGAGGGACGTCAGATGACACCTGTGAAGGGAGAACCCTTGGGTGTAGTTTGCAATTGGCCTCCTGCTTTAGAAGCAGCTCTGCAACGCTGGGGAACAACACAGGCCAAGTGTCCTTGTTTGACAGCCCTGGATGTCTCTGGGAAACCCGTCTACACGTTGACGTATGGTGAGCGTCGTTAGCTTGATGGTCTTCATATGTCTTTGAGTTTATCTGCTTTGCTCGATGTATTAGCAGTTAATTGATGAAGTAATGTTTTGCCAATCTGCATTTATTCTGCCCTGAATAGACATTAGGTTTTTGTCTAATGTATACAGCATATATATGGATTATATACAGTGATAGTACACTGTGTGCACAATTATTAGGCAAGTTATATTGTGGAGGATTCATTTTCTTATTGAACAACTACAGTGCTCTCAGTCAATCCAAAATGTTAATAAACCTCAAACCTGAACATTTAAGAAAGTAAAAAATGAGGTTTTGGCTTTCTTAGGAGAATATCTATGTGTGCATAATTATTGGCCAACTATTAGTGTGCAGCATTATTAGGAAACTAAATGAAAAATGGAAATTTGCCCATCTCACTTGTTTATTTACATCCGTTAAAGTGAGAATAATAAACAACTCAGAATGTACAAATAAACATTTCTGACATTTCAAAAAAATAATCAGTGACCAATATAGCCACCCTTCTTTTCAATAACAGTCATAAGCCTTCCATTCATGGAGTCTGTCAGTTTCCTGATCTATTGACGAACAACATTTTGTGCAACAGCAACCATAGCCTCCCAGGCACTGCTTAGAGAGTTGTACTGTTTTCCTTCATCATAAATCTTCCATTTAAGAAGGGCCCACAAGTTCTCAATAGGGTTTAGGTCAGGTGAGGAAGGGGGCCATGTGATTATTCTTTCATCTTTAAGGCCTTTACTGGCTAGCCACGCAGTGGAGTACTTCGATGCATGCAATGGAGCATTGTTCTGCATAAAAACCATAGTCTTATTGAAAGATGCAGACTTTTTCCTGTACCACTGCTTAAAGAAAGTGTCTTCTGAAAACTGGCAGTAGGTTTGGGAGTTGATTTTGAGCCCATCTTCAACGCGAAAAGGTCCAACTAGCTCATCTTTAATAATACCAGCCTATACCAATATCCCACCTCCATCATGCTGTCGTCTGAGTCGAAGTGGAGCTCTGTGACTGATCCAGCCACAGGCCCATCCATGTGGTCCGTCAAGAGTTACTCTCATCTCATCAGTCTATAAAACCTTTGAAAAAACGGCTTCAGATATTTCTTGGGCCAGTCTTGCTGTTTCAACTTATGTGTCTTGTTCAGTGGTGATCGGGTTTCAGCCTTCCTTACCTTGACCTTATCTCTGAGCACTGAATACCGTGTACTTCTGGGCACTCCTGGTAGGTTACAATTCTGGAATGTGACAGCACTGGAGGATAATGGGTTCCTGATAGTTTCACGTTTGATTCTTCTCAAATCTTTGGCAGTTAATGTGCATCATTTTTCTCAACCATTTCTTGTGACCCTGTTAACTATTTGCAGCAAAATGTTTGATGGTTCTGTGATCACGCCCCAATATCTTAGTAATTTCAAGAGTGCTGTATCCCTTTGAAAGTCTTTTACAATGTTTGACTTTTCAGAGTCAGTTAAATCTTTTTTTTTTTGGCCCATTTTGCCTGAGGAAAAGAAGCTGACTAATAATTATGCACTCCTTGATATAGGGTGTTGATCACCTTAGGCCACACCCTCCCTCATTACACAAATACACATCACCTGATATGCTTATATCTATTAAGTGTTCAGGTTTATACAGCTTGGAGGTGGAAAATATGCATGAAAATTATGATATGTTCAAAATACTCATTTGCCTAATAATTGTGCACACTGTTTATATAGTTACATCTATGATAACCATAGCACAAATTGCATATTAAGTTTCACCAGGTAGTGAGCAAAGCAACAGAGGTTGTATATATAAAAAAACAAGCAAACAGGTGATCCAAAGTAATGAGAACACTGTTACTATTCTATTTTGCAGATGTAAATTGTGATATGTTTGGATTTTATTTGGGATGTAGCAAAAACATGTGTGGTTGTGTATCGTCAGGTATACAGCATCTCAATTTGCTACTTTCTGCTCCATAACAAGTAAAGCCTCATTCAGGATGGCCAGCAGCTATCACTCTCTGGCTGGCATTACAGTGAAGAACACAATCCTAAGAGAAGAAGCACCGCACATGTGTTTGATTGCTCAGAGTTAGTACCATTGTGCAGGATATATTCTTGCCTCTCTTGGCTGTCAACCCCAATATTATTCATAGGACAACTTGATTTATTTCATTAAGATTGTCATCTGAGGCATCTTCTTGGGCCAAAATGAATGGTAGTTAAGGTCATGGCCTTTTCAGTGGGTCCAACCTTGAACCATTCTGTGGATGCTCCTTTTTATGGTTTCTAAGACATCATATGAAGATCTTGTTTTCTTGTGCATTTATCAGGATTTAGTCTTCATTCAACTTCTGAATTTAGATTTTCCCTTCATACTGCGAACCAAGTCAGATATCATGGTTGAAATATGAATGTACTTCTTCGATAAATAATAACTATTATGTGTGTATGTATATAATGCTGATGGTATGTTGCTAATGTCATAAATGTGTTGATTGCTTTTTCTCTTTATTCCAGGCAAACTGTGGAGCAGAAGTGTGAAGTTGGCATATACACTATTGAACAAGCTGGGCACCAAAAATGAGCCTGTATTGAAACCTGGAGACAGGGTAAGATGCTTTACCTACTAACTACTTAACCTACTTATGATAAACAAGAGTGACCAATCACGTGTACAGGTAGTTCTCACGTAACAGTAATTGGGAATACAATTTTAATTTGATAAGTGGATGCAGTTGTAAAATATGATCTCACATGACTGCATCGCTTAGTGACAATAATCTGGCAGTCCCAGTGCTGCTTGGTGGGGGAGGTGCTCGGTTGGTGAGAATTTTGAGGGCCAGTTGTAAGTACAGGTAGTCCTCGACTTAATGACCACAATTGAGCCCAGAATTTCTGTTGCTCAGCAGGACAGTTGTTAAATGAGTTTTATCCCACTTTACAACCTTCCTTGCCACTGTTGTTAAAAGAAACGCTGCAGTTTTGAGTCAGTAATATGGTTGTTAAGTGAATCTGACTTTCCCATTGACTTTGCTTGTCTGAAGGTCACAAGAGGTGATCACATGACCCTGGGATACTGCAGCCATCCAATTCAGACTGTTGCCCGACATCTGAATTTTTATCATGTGACCATGAGGATGCTGCAGTCTTCATAAATACGAAAAATGGTCATACGTTACTTTATGAATGAGTGGCTGTTAACCAAGCACTACCTGTATTTATTATAATTGGTAGAACTTTTTTATTTTGGGGGGGAATAACCCTTTAAAGTTACTCGTGTACTTTGTTCAGTTAAAATATCCGCTTTCACCTGTTAAATGTAATGGTCAAAACACCAGCACTGTTTTCCCTTCTTTCTCTAACGGAGTATTTTTGTGAATCGCAGGTAGCCCTTGTTTATCCCAACAATGATCCTGTCATGTTCATGGTGGCATTCTATGGCTGTTTGCTGGCTGAAGTCATCCCCGTGCCTATAGAGGTGCCTCTAACCCGAAAGGTAATAGTGATTGATCGTAGAGGAGTCACAAGCTATGAAAGCAAGTTAGAAACAAACAAGTTGCTGGTCTTAGATGCACTTACATTCTTGAGGTTTCAACCAGTTGCTCCTTTGCTAATTTCGCAGGCTTGCAAAGAGGTGTTCAAGTGGTCCTCCATTTCACAGCTATTATATAGACAAAAATCACAAAACCATGGTTATCTTTCTCTGCATGCTCGTTGCGCATGCCGATATAGTGTGAAATAAGAGAAAAATCTCATGGCTTCATTCTCATCAGAATTAAGCACTTTGTTAAAAAAAACAGTGGGAACATTGCTGTCTATTCTGTATTCCATTGAGTTTTATGGCTGTTAGTCACATAAGGGAAGGGGAGATCCCTTGTTCACTGAAAACCTCTGATGTTGTGCTTTAAACATTATTGTGCTTGTTTAAAGTTTGACATATTTACACTTTTCAATTTTAAGAAAAATTAAGATTGAATAGTGAAAAAAGTACACTGTGTTAACTTTTATGCCAAAAGAACAAGTTGACTTAATTTGAACAATAGTCTGAAAATCTTACCTCAAAGGTTTATTGAAACTTTTTCTTATTAAAGAGATTGCAATTCAGATGACAAGTAGCATTTATTAAAGGGTCAGATTTTAGGCAATGTTTATGCTTTTCTATGATTGATATTATTCTCAAACCACAATTTGGATATGTGCATTTGTTCAGCTTTGTCACAATTTTACTGTCCATTTACTAATTCTTTACTAATATATAAGTTTTGTATGGTTAAAAGTGACATTAGTTACTAGTCTGCAAATCATAGTTGTTCCCTTCCTTTTCTTCAGGATGCTGGCGGCCAGCAGATTGGCTTTCTACTGGGTAGTTGTGGCATTGCTTTGGCCCTCACCACTGAAGTTTGCCTGAAGGGACTCCCCAAAACACAAAATGGAGAAATTGTGCAATTCAAGGGTTTGTTATATTGCATTTATTATGCTTTATAGAAGAAAACCAAAACCAACAAATCGTTGATTTTTTCCTCAAAAATGTATACAGGTAGTCCTCGACTTACAACAGTTCATTTAGTGACTGTTCGAAGTTACAACAGCACTAAGAAAAGTGACTTATAACCATTTTTCACATGTATTACCGTTGCAGCATCCCCATGGTCACATGATGAAAATTTAGACAACTGACTCGGTTGCGGTTTCCTGAGGTCATGTGATCCACCTTTTGCTAACTTCTGACAAGCAAAGTCAATGGGGAAGCCAGATTAACTTAACAATCATGTTACTTAACAACTGCAGTGATTTACTTAACAACCGTGGCGAGAAAGGCTGTAAAATGGGGCAAAACTCATTTAACAATTGTCTCAGCAAGAGAAATTTTGGGCTCAGTTGTGGTTGTAAGTCAAGGACTATCTATAATTAAACTTTGAAAATGAAAAAGGGAAAGTCTGGCAGAGTGGGAAAAATGATAAGGACTGAATGGAAGCAGACTGAGAATACTGTATTGCATATTTGTTTCTGAGGCCAACTTTCTCATAGATAAAATCATGTGACCCTGAGTGAGACTTTTAGCCAGGGTTGGGCATCTTGTGACACATACGCACAACTCAGTTTTGTTCCCCTGAACTATCTCAGATTTGGCAGTATAAGAATTTTGCTGGAGTTTCTTTAAAATAACAAAGAATATAGATGAGCTAAACCTTTGTTATTCTTAACACACAGGTAGTCCTTGCTTAATGGCTGTTTGCTTACTGACCATCTAAAGTTATGGCAGACCGCCCTCCCCCTCTCAAGAGATACTTTCGACGCAGTCCTGAAGTTATGGTCATAGTAATGTTCCTGTGGTTGTTTGCCCTTACCACAGACCATAGGCATGCTTCAGTGCCTTCCCACCTCTCCCCCCCCCTTTCCCCCCTTGGGTTTCTGCAGACCTTTTACTCCCCCACAAGGTCCCTGCAGACATTTCCTCCCACACATACATCACATCCTGCAGGGCTTTCCTTCTCTAATTGGATCCCAGCAGGGTTGTCCCTCACACACTGGGTCCCCACAGGCCTTAGGCCTGATTTTCAGCCACCAGTGGGGGAAACCCATGTGGGGGAAGAATTGCAAGGACTTGTGGGGGGGAGGTCTGAGGGACCCAAGGAGTGGGAAATGGAGCCTGGGGTGTCTCGGGGAGGGGCGGCTTTGGAGTCCCAGGGGAGATGGACCTGGGCCTGCATTAGATCTCCCCCACCCCGAGGTACTCCATGTTCCATTTTATGACCTGTTCATTTAACAGTCACACCAGGGAGAGCAAGGGGTGGAGGTAATCAGACAGCACTGTCTTGCTTTACAGCCATCATGATGTGACCACAACAGGGAGGCTCATATGTCGAGGACAACATGTAATTGCTTTTTGTTAAAAACTTATATCCATCCCCTAAATGGGTAAAAAAAAAAAATCAACAGTTAATCAGCACCTTAGCAATCTCAATGCATTGTATACTGTTGTGATTCCTCACCAGCCAGTGGATCCGGCAGCTGAATCTGGGGAATCAGAGGAGGAGGAGGAGGGGCCTGGAGTGACATCAGAGTCAGAGGAAGGCTCTGAGGAGCTCCAAGACTTACAGTCTGATGAGGAGCCTGGCCCCACTACTTGTGCTCAGGCTGAGACACAGCTGTGCTGGGAGTCTGAGTTGGACAGTGATGACTTACAGCTGGGAGATATCCAGGATGCACAAAAACGCCGGCAAGAAAAGAGAGTAGGACAGAGGAATGCAAGGGAGCGGCTCCAAAGGCAAAGGAGAAGGCATTAGGAAGCCACGCCTTGGCTGCATAATAAAAGGGAAAGTGTGGGAGGTGCTGGTTGTTGAGGATCGAGTTTCTGTGGACTGTGTTTGTTTGCCTTGGACATTGATTCAGGTCTGTGAATAATAAAAGGGGATTGGTTTTTTCCTGCAGTTCCAGCCTGCTTGTTGGAAGAGGGGCTTCTCCTTGTAAGCTTAACAAGGACTCGCGTAGGCTGGGACAGAACATATACTATGTCCCCTGAAGTTTTTGAAATTTAAAAATTTAAAAAGTTTTTGAATATTTTTAAAAAAGTAATGAAAATGGTTGGCTACCTCTACTTCTTCACCAGTTGTAAATAATGTAATTAACCTGAATACAGTTAATTGTAAGTCTACTTGGCATAAGCAGGTTATGAATCTAACTGTCACAAAAATATATAGCATCTGTCCTTCCTCTAGTGGAGGAATTATTAGATTGTTAGGCCTCAAAAATTAGAACTATCTATACTCCTGCTGTTGAGCCCAGCAACCACAGTATCTTTCATAATGGGAATGAACTGGGACGACATTATCTTCTTGCTCTATGGCTTTGAACCCAAATAATGAAGCTCTAAATAGCCTTACACATTGAGTATCATTTCATGCTGTAAAAATGATATATTCTGCTTTTTGTTTTTTCCAGTTTCACATATTTGTAAACAGTTGGTGCATAGCAACTTCATCCAATTATGGAAAAATAGTAAAAAATAGATTTTAGTAGCACAATTATTTCTCTGTAAAGAGGGTTTCTGCGAAATCTGCTGGTCTTCTGAGACAGCCCTAATTTCATCATTTCTTTTGTGGTCTATACTCAGTCTATTTATTGTTATAGCCTGTTTCCATTTAAATTAACTTTTTGTGAGGATTAGACATCCAACACTAAGAAAACGGGGGAACTAAATTTGGGATAGCAAACTGATTTGAATGAGCCAAATTCCATGATTTGCAGTGTAAGTGCATCCCCAACAGCTTGTGGCCTGAAGTTTGAGTTTCTTTTTTGGTTCTAGGTTGGCCAAGGCTCAAGTGGGTGGTTACAGATTCCAAGTATCTCTCCAAAACACCAAAGGATTGGCAGCCCAACATTTCAAATGCAGGGACTGAACCAGCTTATATTGAGGTATATAAAGGAAATGGAATTTGACAAAATAAAATATGTTACGATTGTTAATACCTTCAGGTCATTTCAAATATTTTATGCAGCAGGTGTGTCCCCTTTTTCTTGAAAATGTTTGCTTTAAGATTAATTTAGATTTTGTTCATAATCTCAGTCCATGTCTCGTAGGGAATTAACAAATGTGACACAAATATTTAAAAATTGAAAACACGCTTCATCTGGAACAAAGAGGCAGAATTATTGAACACCTTCTCAGTATTTAGCATGTTTAAAATCAAGAACTGCATACTTTTCCAGTATAGCACCATTTGGATGTGCCTTATTTGATTTTGGCTTTATGGAGAATTTATCTTTTGCCGAACTCGTAGCTAACTTTACAGTGTACTCTGCTACTCTTATAGCAGATTTCCTCTGCCTATTTTTTATCTGGTTGATCTTTTCTGTGCTAAGGCTTGCAGAACTCTATGTCACAAATTCCCCACATTTATTTACAATGAGGATGATGTAAGGAAAGAAAAACCAGGCTTACATTTTTTGCATTATGACCAACACTGAGTGCTTGTGTAGGTGGACTCCACTACACAAGCACACAAGCATGGTTATGAAAATAGAGAAAGACCCACTGACTGCAACTTTATGAATCATAATGTAAATATAACTATAGTGATTCCCAATAGAGGAAGTTTAATTGATTATGTTGTTAATATTCTTTTTTTTCAGTATAAGACCAGCAAGGAGGGGAGCGTGATGGGTGTAACTGTGTCCCGAATTGCTCTCTTGTCTCATTGTCAGGCTCTGTCTCAGGCATGCAACTACTCTGAAGGTGAGCCCTGTGGTACTTCTCATACTGCATACAAGGTTAAATAGTTTTGCTTAGAACAGGGGTCCCCAGTCCCTGGACTGGTACCAGGCCGCGGCATGCCAACAAGCAGCCCACACAAAAAGAAAGGCCTCATCCATGGGATGCAGGCAGCACACAAAACCACACACTCTCCAGTCCACGGAAAACCTCTCTCCATGGAACCGGTCCCTGGTGCCCAAAGGGTTGGGGACCTTTGGCTTAGAAGAAGAAGACAAATTGCTCTAGGAATGTCTGGTCATATAAAGTGAATGGATGTATATCTCTGTCTGTCTGTCTGTCTGTCTGTCTGTCTGTCTGTCTGTCTGTCTATCTATCTATTCATATCTAATATTAAACCAAGCCTAATGCAGTGTGAACTCCTCGAAATTCTGTGCTTCATACATTAAGAATCCCTTGCAAAATTATGAACCATTCACACTGCCAAATAGGTAAGCCAAAACAGGGAGGGATGCTCATGTGATATAGACTGTATGAATGAACATGTGACAGCAGCATAGTTTTTATCTGCATAATCAGATATCAGCATAAATTATTTTGGGAAACAGTTTGGGGCTGGTAGTAATTGCCATTTTTATTTTGACAGATAAGGATATTTTCTTCTCTCTAGACATATTGCCTTCCTGCCTCTTTCATTTCTAGCATGCTGAATTTTAAGAAAACATATTAAAGTACCATCAAAGAAATTAAAATAAAAGTTTTGTTATTTATAATTGAAATACCTAACCCTAACCCTAATCTTTTTTAGTTGGGATCCCGGAGCTCCTTATTATTGCCAAGGCAGGGCAATACATCACTGTTTTTTCTTTTCTTCCATATCCCCGAGAGTCATTCAGTAATGAGATGAGCGGCATATAAATTAAATAAATATCTGTGCAGATGAGCTTTCCTGGTTCCTGACTGCCATTTTCACTGCAGATTTTTTATTTTATTTCCTGCCTTTATTATTTTTACAAATAACTCAAACTGGCGAACATATTCAGTACACCTCCTTACTCCTATTTTCGCCACAACAACCCTGTGAGGTGAGTTGGGCTGAGAGAGAGTGACTGGCCAAAATCACCCAACTGGCTTTTTTGGCTAAGATAGAACTAGAACTCATGGTCTCCTGCTTTATAGCCTGATACCTTAACCACTAGACAAAATTTGCTAATTTCCCATTGAAATGTTCATTGAAGCCATGCGGTTACATCAGTTTCTATGCCTCTTCACAATGATGTCAAAATAGCAAAACATCTGTTGTAATCCCACAATGCAAGTGCTCTCTATTAAGCACCTGCATGGACCTTTGTGATGCAAGTATAAAAAGAGTGGTGTTTGCATCTTGTACTCAATCTTTGTCCACTCTGATGAATGCTGAAGAGTGGCTAATACCAGATCGTAACCCAAGTGTCTTAGAGACATTGAAACTAAATACAACTATAGTCTTTTTCATTTTTCTTCTAATAAAAAGAACCCGATTTTTGCAGCAGAGTTGTGTATTTTGAATTTCAAAAGTAAGTATCATTATATTCGTTTTAGGTGAAACCATAGTGAATGTCCTAGATTTCAAAAAGGATGCAGGATTGTGGCACAGCATGCTAACGGTGAGTCGGTCTTTTGAGGGTATTTTCATAAATTCCACTAAAACTAGGCTTAGTGTTAAAAAATGATGGAGCCTTTAAAAATGGCATGATCGCGGTCTCATGAAAAGTGGAAAAATAGATCTTGTAATTAATGTTTTCACTTAGAATAGAGATGGGCAACCTTTTGGTGACCATAACATCATTTAACTTTTCTTTTTGAGATGGTGGTAGCTCCAGAGGGACCAATGTGGAGCTACATCATATATTTGGAAAGGGGCTGAGATGTCTGTTTTTACTGGTTTAATATTGGGGGGAATTCTATTATAGTATTCATGTGTTTTCCTGCTGAAAATGTCACAAATCATTTTGATTGCTGACAGATAGCTGTTTCCCCACCAAATGGTAGTGGTATGGCCAGAGAAGCCTCTGAAAGTCATATCAAACTGGTTTGAGGGCTGAGAGTGGCAATGGGCACTGGATTTGCCCACTTGTAAGTTAGCTCCCTCCGTATTCTAAGCTAGAATAAAAATGTTTATATTCCTTGAGGGTATATTTCTTTCATTCTTTTGTTCTGTTTGCATTGTGATTTTTTTTGTGAAACAATGCTCAAGGAAGCTAGTATAATAATAATAGAACAATATATATAATGAAACATGAAATAGCTGCATCCCTAAAAGTCAATCTGGGCAAAGGCATTGTCCAAATAATAAAAGTCTTCTCTGTACAAGAAGGCTGATGGAGATTAGGCTAGCCAAAGCCCGTTTTAGGAGATTGGGAACTATATTACAAGGCAATCACTCTGATTCTCATCAAAAGCCTGAAAAGCCTCTCTCAAGGCCCTGGTGCAGGTAGAGAATGTGGATTTTCACAAAACCTGATCCTATGGAATTTGTGCCTACACCAAGTCAATCTGTTGGGATAGGGCAGGAGTAGGCAACCTTGGCTCTGGGAGTTGAAGTCTACGAGTCATAAAAGAGCCAAGGTTGCCTACCCCTGGCATAGGGGAATTGTTCTCTGTGTTTGATTGGTGCCAATCTAGACTCTGGCTGCAAACTCTGAAGTAGGAAATGTCACACTACAGCATGCTTTACTGGGGCAACACTTGACATTTCAACCGAGAAATGTCAAGTGTTGCCCCAGTAACAGTGTACATATCAGTGTATAGAGAAAAACTGTTTGGGGATCCAGCTTTTGAATTAACGAACCAAATCTGAATAGAACCGTCTGATGATCAGGAAACATGGCTTCAGGTGAACCAATTGCACAAAAGCTTTCAGGACTTTATTGTTTGTCTTCCTGGGTGGACTATTTTTTTTTATCTGTATCTTTTGTTATTGTTTTGGTAAAAAAAAATAGTATCACTTTTTGTTTTCTCAGAGTGTAATGAACAAGCTGCATACCATCAGCGTGCCCTATGCAGTGATGAAAACCTGCCCTCTTTCTTGGGCACAGAGGGTTCACACTCACAAAGGTATTGTGGATATTGAATTGCATGATGGATTATCTCTAGTATTCTTAGCTCCTGCAAAAACGAATGGGGCAGGTGGTATTTAAGAACCCCCAAGGGAACTCTAATCCTGCTCCAATTCCCTTATAGCCAGATGTTGGGGGAGGGGGGGACTGACAGTAGGTGTTCAGCTATGAAATTAAAAGCATATTACCAGGATACATGATCCATCTGCACCATTGCTTTGATTATCCCAGCTTGCTTACTTTTTTCATGGAGTAGTCCTAGCTTCTTTTGATAAACAAATTTCCTCTTCCTAAGTCTGCCTTGAACATGGTTCTAAAAAGTATCCATATATTAAACCTTTTTCATTTGTTTTTCAGATTCAGAGAACACCCCTGTGGATGGTTCTCATAAATATGCCTTTGTTTCTGTGTATTGATTTCTACTTTCTCTTCTGTCCTGTATTTGCAGCTAAAGTAGCTTTGGTGAAATGTCGAGATTTGCACTGGGCCATGATGGCTCACCGGGACCAAAGAGATGTCAGCTTAAGTTCCCTACGGATGCTGATCGTAACTGATGGTGCTAATCCCTGTGAGTAGGCATTGATAGTATTGCCTGCTTGTTAAAACAGATTTTTCCCCCCAGAATTTCTCTGATGTCTGTATGAGTGAGAGGAGAAGGGTTGGGCATTCACCAAAGGACAGACTGTATCATCCTTGAAAATGTGTATTCATTTTTCATTCCTTGCAAACTACAGAAATAGAAAGGCAAATGTGTGTTAAACAACGGCTTGCTTTTTTTTACAGTTCTGATGTACAGGCTAATGTTTGTCATACATTTGATGAATGTATGACAAAACATTTAAATAATGTACACTTGCATCGAACGCCGAGATGCTGAATCTAAACTGGTAGTACTTTGGTCCTTGATGAACTGTGCAAGAGTTTGGACTCATTGGTGTAAATGTCCCCTTGCACGGTTCATCAAAGACCGAAGGATTACCAGTTTAGATTCAGTATCTCAGCATTTGATGAGGACCTTTCTCTGATTCTGGCTTTTTATTTCATGAAGGATTTCTAACCTACCTTTTTTGAGTGTTCAGGGCAGATAGTATCACTAAAGCCAACATTCAGAGCATTAATATATTTTAAGTCACTTATGAAGCATAAATAAGTGAGATTGCTTTGTACACAAAGCTCACTTTTGCTACAAATAGGAGAGTGAAATGGCAGTTATCATCACTGTCCCTGAAGCAAGTTTTACCTTCCCTTGTCTTAAGAAGAGTTAAATGGTGTCATGCTAAATGGTATCAGCAGAGTGGTAAAATAAATGATGGAGAGATAAAAGGACTTCTCAGCCTCAGATTGTGAATAGCTTGAATTTTACTTCCAATCCTCAGTAAAATAACCAAAGCTTGTGCAGAATTCATATAAAAATTGTATCATTAAAGGGGGAGAAGTGGAAATATTCATCTAAAAGGAATTTTAAAAACCAAGTAGCTTTAATGGGCCACCTAAGGGAAGGAAGCAGGAGGGGCGGCCTAACTGTGTTTGAAATGAGGAATGAGGAATGAGCCAAAGGTCTTTGAAAGAAATGAACAACAGATTTTCATGGGATTCCTGCTGTTCAGTGGGCTTAATGAATTGTCTGCCCAGATGGTGCTAGGAAGAAATGAGATTTGAATATAGTTATGATTTCTGGATCAAGTGGAGGCAGGGAGACTGCAGCAGGGAAAAGTATGCATTGCTCTTCTGGGCAGGATGCAATCTCTTACTTGAAATTGTATTTTACGATTCAGAATCTGCAAAAGCTTCTCGCTATGCAAGCCGTTATTCAGAATTGCATTCTATATTTAACATTAGTTCTGGTAATTTCTTTTTGGATGCTGGGGGAAAAAACACACACACAGGTGGGAGGTTATTTTGATTTTGCATTGCATAATTCAGCATTGCAGCTTTATTTCTGCAAGAGTTTATGCAAGCTTCATGCATGGTTGATCTACGGACAAACCCTCTGCAAATGATGATGTAAGATGCTCAAAGTTCGAGTCTGCATTACAGCATTGTAATTAAATGAAGCAGTTTAATTTTAGAAAGAGGTACTCTGTTGTAGCAATTACACATACGTGCAGTGCATTAAATCTTTTAGAAAGCAAATTACATTTAGAGGTCTTATAAATAGCAGTCGTCATGGCTTTTAAAGACGCCTTTGTGTTCCTGTTATCAAACCCTAATTCACTATTTCAAATAAGAATATAATTGCTTTCCAGGGTCTGTGTCCTCGTGTGATGCTTTCCTGAGTCTATTCCAGAACTACGGGCTTAAACCAGAGGCAATATGTCCTTGTGCTACATCTCCTGAAGCAATGACTGTGGCTATCCGGAGGTAAAATTGGATTTCGTTTTTCCAGGACATTTCCATTATCTGCTAAAGAGACACTATTAATTTACATTTCGTATACTATATCATTTCTTATCTGGCATTTCAGAAGCTAAAATTAGATTCATTTCTTGAATAGCTACTTCACTATTAAGTAACTGTGATCTTCTCTTCATATGACAAATAGAGTTCTAACATGTTTATGATTGAGACATTCACATTGAACATTGAGTGGAGAGACAAATAAAAACGTTCTGAGGGAGAACAAAGTACAGTGAATGAAAAATGTTTTTGTAATGAATATATATTGAAGAAGTATAAAAAAAATTTCTGTTTTCTCTGTTTTGCTATTTTTTGTTTTATGCTGACTTATCTCATGCAGAATATATCAATATTGCGGAGAGGGGGGGGGTGTAGTCCAGTTATCCATATCCTGTGCAAATCTGTTGCATGCTGTAATTTAATTTAAAGATTATAATGAATATTTGTCACCTTGTATTTTGCTCATATAATTAAACTTTCTCACAGTCCACCAAATGATTACAATGTTTCCTACTATTACATGGGATCAAACATTCAGTATAATTTATTCACAGAGGCTCCACAGCCATTATTCTGTGGAGTTTATTGTGTCAGTTCCTTTCCAAATACTTGGTTCTGGTGGGAATTGTAACACTCGGAGGACTAGAAAAGCCTGGCTATCTAAAAATAATTTTCAAAATGATGGAAACCAGCAGGGTCTTCCTGTATATTACATTATGGTGTAGGGAGAAGGACAAGTGAGATAAGTTCAACTTTTTTCCTGAAGGATCTCAAGCGCCAGCAAGTTGATTCAGTTACAAAGTTGTGCCTTAAAATCTGGAACCAGATGCAGAATTAGTTAGTTCAGTGGTTCTCAACCTGTGGGTCGGGACCCCATTTGGGGTCGATCGACCATTTCATGGGGGTCGCCAAGCAAGGCTGTCTGCCATTTTTTTTGTCCGCCTTTTTTTTTGTCCGCCATTTTTTCCCCTTTTCCGGTGGGTGCCTTACCTCCCTTGGGCTGGGCCAGCTGGTGGTCGGCCTGCTCCGTCTCTGCCGCTTGCCAGCTATGCCTTGGCCGGCGCAGGGGGCGGAACCACGCATGCGCGGCGCTCCCAGGCAGGGAAAGTCCTCGACTTATGACCGGTTGGGTAGTCCTCGACTTACGACCGGTTTAGTCCTCGACTTACGACCGGTTTAGTCCTCGACCTATGACCGGTTTAGTCCTCGACCTACGACCGGTTGGGGTCGCGGCATTAAAAAGGTTGAGAACCACTGAGTTAGTTCCTCTTGTTGCAGCTTCTGTAAGTAAATGGGAGTTGGAAATTCAACCCAATCTATGGCGAAACACCCAGTGATTGACTCATAGATTCTGATTCATCTTTGTACAACTTTGTGGTCATAATAGCATCTGCCTGCCTTTTCAGACCTGGCGTTTCCGGGGCACCTTTGCCTGGAAGAGCTATCTTATCAATGAATGGCTTGAGCTATGGTGTCATTCGTGTCAATACAGAAGATAAGAATTCTGCTCTCACCATACAGGATGTCGGTCATGTTATGCCAGGCGGTAAGTGTTCCTTGGAGTGGAAAGATACGTTACAAGGCTCTCAGATTGCTTCCTTCAAGGTCCTGCTAAGATACAAGCTCCATTTGGATCCTCCTGCCCCTGAACTTTTTTGCGCTCCAGAGTTTCCTTTTAAGAATTACAATTTAAAAGAATCGGCATCTAAGCTTTCCTTATTTTCTTTTTCCCCTTCCTCCTTCTTTTTGTGCCTGTGCATCTGCGTACCCTCAGGGTGTCTTTTGGAATATAATATTTAGATTGTAGATTTGAGCGCTCCCTTCTTTCTATTAATAATGCGTGTGCCATTTTAAGAGCCTTTTTGGTTGAAGAGTAAAGGAAATGTGTGCTCAAATAAATAAATAATAGGAGTAAAGCATCCATAATGTGTAGCACATACTTTACTTTGCTACTGCTGGAGTCCCAGCTGCTGGGTATCATCCTCTGCTGTGGCACTCTTGAGCCTCTGCATGCTCACAGCAGATCTCTTCATCTACTTGTATATTCAAGTCATTTGAGGCTTATTTAATTCACTGAGTAAGAAAATGGGACATTGTGTTTGCCTAATCCAGTGGTTCTCAACCTGTGGGTCGGGACCCCATTTGGGGTCGATCGACCATTTCATGGGGGTCTCCAAGCAAGGCTGTCCGCCATTTTTTTTGTCCGCCATTTTTTTGTCCGCCATTTTTCCCCCCTTTTCCGGCGGGTGCCTTACCTCCCTTGGGCTGGGCCAGCTGGTGGTCGGCCTGCTCCGTCTCTGCCGCTTGCCAGCTACGCCTCGGCCAGCGCAGGGGGCGGAACCACACATGTGCGGCGCTCCCGGGCAGGGAAAGTCCTTGACTTACGACCGGTTGGGTAGTCCTCGACTTACGACCGGTTTAGTCCTCGACTTACGACCGGTTGGGGTCACGGCATTAAAAAGGTTGAGAACCACTGGCCTAATCTTTCTTCTGCTTGGGGTTCACATTACCTTGCTTTTAGGGCCCTATTGGGTCTTCCCGCATGCTTGCAACTAATTCTCCATCTCCGCCCCTCCCTCCTATGCTGTGTGCAGAAGTCTGGAAGCCGAAAAATATGCAGAGTAAGTGAAATAGTTTTTGCATGAGCAGAATTCCAGAAGCAGGCTTTTTCAGGAGGAAAAAAAATGTCCCAAGTGCTTTGCTTGATTCAAATGTTTTAAACAGCAAATACAACTGAGAGGCACTGACCCTGATTTAAATATGCTGTTTGCTTTTTATATGATCGGCAACCCTAATTGTGCACCGAATCCTCGGAACGTATTCAGCTGCCATTGTATTTCATTTCCTGTCTTCTTAAATACCTTCTGTATTTTCAGCTAAATTCCTGTCCTTGTGTCAGGTTAGGACTTTCCTAATAGCATGTGATTTGTTCTAGGAATGATGTGTATTGTGAAGCCGGATGGCTCCCCTCAGCTTTGCAAGACAGATGAGATTGGTGAAATCTGTGTTAGCGCCAGAACAGGAGGGATGATGTATTACGGGCTGAGCGGAGTAACCAAGAACACATTTGAGGTACAGTAATTAAATTGCATATTCTGTTTTGACTTGGATTATATCTGGTTTTGTTCAGTTAGCTGTTTGGAACAGGTCCTTTGTATTACTAATTTGCAGTGTTGGAAGTGAATGTTTTTCTAAAGCTCTCTTTGAGCTGAGATTTCAAGTGTCTATCTGTGCTGTCAACAGCTAAATTGTACCAGCTTAATTTTCACTATAAAAGCAATAATTGGGGAGTCAAGGGCTTTCAGGTTTCATATTTAGCAATACCGGTGAGTCCACTGATGTGTCTATAGTTAAAACTAAAAATATATTTTTAGGATATGATAGCATACTATTAATACCGAACCAGAAGCACTACTTAAACTGAGCAAATTAATCATCCACCTGAATTGTGAGTTTTAAGTGTTGTTAATCACTTTGAAGCCAATTTAGAATGGGCTTACTGTTGAAGTTTTAACATGCTGGTAGGAGGTTTATTGAGCATAATATATTTTCACATAAGAATCTTTGTGATGTAAGTCTTACATTTTTATCTTGGATGTCTATCCTGTGAAACTAATTAATTGCACAGTTGGGCACTATCCAAATATTAAACATTTCTTAACAGCAGGAAATTTCTCATCCTGGTTGTTAAGAAACAAAGAAGAACAATGGGAATAAACACAGGAGCTCCCTAATCTGTGAACAGCAGTCCCTTAGCCCTCTGTTTACCTTGCTAACACATTCCTGCTGGCAAGCCATCCCTTGTTAATTTCCCCTGAAAATGAAGGTCTTGCAGTTTAGGGTTCTGTTCAGGATAATTGTAGATACCCAAGGAGAGACTTCTGCAAGGAAAAAGCTCACCCTTTCTGAAATCCTTTCCTGGTTTCTAGTCACATTGTGCCTAACTATAAAGTCTTTTTGTTTACTTGCTTGTTTTCAAGGATTTTAGTCGGTTCTGGAAAACGTCAGCACTGTGATTAAGTTGATAAAAGTGCTGCAGTAAAAAGAACAGATTTTTCAGCTGTTTGTCGTTTTCCAGGCAGAAATGTTGTGGCTGTTTGACCACCAACAATCTTTCTCTTCTTCTTCCAGGTCTTCCCAGTGAATTCAGCTGGCTCTCCTGTGGGCGATGTGCCTTTTGTGCGATCTGGCTTGCTGGGATTTGTTGGGCCTGTACGTTTCCATTGCCTTTATTTTTATTATTATTATGTGTCAACCTTTAGGTTGATGCTGATCTCTCTCTTATCCTCCACTTCTTTAGAGCCCAGAGGTACACTTCACGGCCTTTGTCAACAACATACGCACAGAGTTATTCACTGCTTTGCACATTAATGATCAGTGACATTTCACAAGTTGAGCCTATGAACCTGGCGTGCATAAACTGGAATGTGAATCCAACTTTAATTATTGACTATACACATATTGTTAACCGAGCCGAGTGTCTGATACATGGTTTGCTTTGGATGCTTTTGGTGACACCTCTAAGATTCCCCCCTGCTATCAGATATATCAGTTGTAGCTAGGAGTTTTGGTGCATCCTTATTCCTTCATTGTCTGTGAAGTAGCAACCACAAGGAAGAAAAGTATTTTTCTTACTCGACCTCCCTTTCCCCTTTATACAGCATATAGAAGCATATCCTATTTTGACTTAATATACATTCTGTGCTTTTCAATCGGAATATCCTGATACAAGATTTAGAAATTAGCCCAGTGCTGCAATTCCTGCTTTTTGTAGTGCAACTCACTACTACTCAGCCATAAGCCTATATTCTTTTGTCTGGATTTATTTGCTTTTATCTGTCATAAATAGTAAATGTTTTTTAATTATTATTATTTTTAAAATGTAGATATTTCTAAGGTGTGAAAGCAAGGGATATAAGGCAGGGATTTGCATTCCAGCAAAGTGGGATGGTGGCTAAAGTAAAAGACATTTTTTAAAAAGCAAGGGAAGCATTTGACATTTGTGATAAGCATTTTTCTTTTATTTTCTTCATAGGGAAGTCTGGTATTTGTTGTTGGAAAAATAGATGGGATGCTCATTGTTAGTGGACGCAGACATAATGCTGATGACATTGTGGCCACCGGATTGGCAGTTGAATCTCTAAAGACGGTTTACAGAGGAAGGTTAGTCTACATCTCTCTAAATAATATTACGATAATATTATTTTTCTGATAGGCGATTGTTGGAATCAAGCCTTTCAATTATTAATGTTCTCCTATGAAACCAAAGCAGTCTCTTGGTCATTTAAATGGCAGATTCTTATCTTCTTCTGGGGGTAGGTTGGGTTTTCCTGAGGTAGCCCTTCTTAATGTCTTCCTGGCTCAAGGTCTTCCATCCTGAAAAACAAGAAGCAAAGAAGACCTGCCGTTTGCCATTCCAGCTTTCACCAAAAGAATGGTCTGCAGGTCAGGCAACCCAGCAAAAAACAAGGGGGGGGGACAACTATTTTTAAGTCTCCATCTAGACGTGCAGAAGGATTAATAAGTGAAGAACTGCATCTTCCTAGTAAAACATTCTCTTCCTCCCCAAACATTTTACAGAAATCATTTTATTCTTTACCACCATCCCCCTCAAAAAATGCAGCAGAAAAAGACTTGCCCTTTTCATAGAGAATAAACATAGGATAAGGATTCAGCCCCAGCATTGCCAAAGGCATGGCTGCTATCTATAACCTCATTCTTTTCCTTTGAATTGGCAGCTTTAATCATTCTAGTACAGATAACAGATTTCTTGATTTTTATTTCATTAAAATATCAGTCCAAAATGTGTGGCAATTAGTGTTGCAGGCTGCCTTCTGTTTGATTGAAACAAAAAATAAAATAAAAAATCCTGCCAAGGATTTGTGCAGCAAAGGGTGTGGTGAGGACATCACCCTGCTCTCGATCATTTAAAAAAACATTGAAACTTCATAATGCCATCACATTTCATGAGAATTCATGTTCTTACTCTAACATGCTTTAAAATCTGGTAATCTCATGCAGTTTTGATTTTCTGCATATCTCCCAGACACATTTGGGATAAAGCTGGTGACACAACTCTCTAAGGCAACACAGCCCAGCCGTACAGCCTCTCTTCTGTTTTCTTTTTTAGGATTGCTGTGTTCTCTGTGACTGTGTTTTATGATGAAAGGATTGTGGTGGTAGCTGAACAACGGCCTGATGCTTCTGAAGAAGATAGTTTTCAGTGGATGAGTCGTGTGCTGCAGGTCAGACTAGCCTAGGATGACTTGATTTCTCTCTCTTAATAGATGGGCAGTAGCCACCATTGACCTGTGTGCTTTCATATACAACAGAATCATTATCAGTGATGAGAGTGAAATTTTCAGATCCTTATGAGACAGTCTCTCAAAATAGAATGGCCCCATGTTCCTTAATTTCTCATTTCATGTACCTTCACATTTGTATTAACTCATAAATGGGGCATGTGGAAAGCTTCTTCTGTAAATATCCGCTAATATGTTTTAGTCCAACTGCATATTATTTATATTATTTATTTATAGTTTATGTTTCTACACCGTTCATCTCCCTCAAAGCGAGGCCCTGGGCAGTGTACAATATTAACTGCAATTACATGTAGTCCTCAACTTAGAATCGTAATTGAGCCCAGAATTATAGTCATAAGTCATGCCAGTTACTAAGCAGGTCATCATGTGATCATGCCCAATTTTACAAACGCCATGGTCCTTCAGCGAACTCATTGCCCACAATCTGTCAAGTGCTGAGGGAATCGGGAGATTCGGGCAGTTCAAATGAGTATAAAGATTTATTATAAGCTTAAGCTCTCTAGAAAAATCTGAACTGCTAACGGTCAAGGGAAATGAGTGGAAATTAAGAAAGGTGGGCTGGACTTAGATCTCTTGTGAGCATGCAGGGACTCATGATTGATGACGCATTTGACCCCTCCCTCGGGCTCAGGCTGGTCTTCTCCTACACAATTGGTGGGTTTTGCCATAAACTAAAAGTAAAGGTCAGTTTCTGACAAAAAACATTGTAAATCACGGTCACGTGACCATGAACACTGAAAACAGCCATTATTGTGAACCGGTTGCTGAATACTCAAAATGCAGTTATCATGTGGCCATGGGGGCGGGGGAAGCCATGAGAAGTTTGAATGTGGATTGCAAGCCCTTTTGGGGGGATCCATGATAACTTTGAATGGTTGCTAAGTAACCCGTTGTAAGTTGACAACTTGTATGGGGTTTTTTTTAATAACTTATTTTTCAGTATTTGGCAAATTTGTTTACTCCTTTCTAAAGTTATCTAGGTAAAAATACAAATAGCTCTTCATAGTTCTAGAATGTCAACCTTGGTTTTCTTGGTTCTTAGGCAATTGACAGCATTCACCAAGTTGGAGTATATTGCCTCGCTCTTGTTCCAGCAAATACTTTGCCAAAAACTCCTCTGGGAGGGATTCATATATCTCAAACCAAACAGCATTTCCTGGAAGGGTCATTGCATCCATGTAACATTCTCATGTGCCCACACACGTGTGTAACCAATCTGCCGAAACCCAGGCAAAAACAACCAGGTAATTAGACAAAACTTCCCCTAAGTGGATTAAAAGTTCTGGGTAGTTGGTGGAAATGTTTCTTGTCATAATGAAAAAAGAGCGGGGCCCCTATTTTTATATCCTGAATAAGCAGCTGGCTGCACATCTTCACAGGGACAGATCAGTGGACAGGCTCTGAGGTTGTGCATCGGACATGGCCCCATTTTTTCCAAGCATTTTTTCTGTTTTTTTTTCTCATTTGGAATTAAAAGTAGATATATGATTGAAGCAAGAAAAAAAAATCATGACATTTATGTTGTACATTTTTATTGATGCATAGTACGGTTAATTGCCTTCTTTTCCTAAATGTTTATACCTTGGTCTGTTCCAACAGGTGTTGGTCCTGCCTCTGTGATGGTGGGGAACTTGGTTGCAGGGAAGCGTATCGCACAGGCCTCTGGGAGGGATCTGGGACAGATAGAAGAGAATGACCTAGTGAGAAAGGTGAGTATCTGTGCCACATTCTCCAGACTTCCTCTTAGCCCTTTCACAACTGAGGAAAGATGGTGGTTACTTTTTATGTTGGGAAATGCATCTTCTTAAAATCAGCTGAGGATCAAAAGTTGTGGGAAGGAGCAGAAGCTAATGTTGAGCAAGACCAGAATCAATATGAGATTCTTAGCCTATGGGTCTAATTGTTTCTTTTCATTTCCCACAAAGAGCAAATGGCGTGGTAAAAGATTGCTCTAACCTGAATCTGAATTGTCCTGTGATCCTTTAAAATGGGTGTCAAACTGCCAGCCCATGGGCCAGTTGCATCATGCGGAGGCCATGCCCACTCCAGCTCCGGCAATGCGGAAAAAAGTCGCGGTATATTGCGACACGTCACATGATGCGGCGAGTTTGACACCCGTGCTTTAAAATAAAGCCAAGAGTAGCCTACTTCTGAAATGAAAATGCTATAATATTCCTGGCCATTGTTGCAAACATCATCATGGATTTGTTTCTATGTGTGCTTTTCTCCTCCTTAAATTCTAAGAATCATTGATGTCATTCTCTTACTCACAAAAGGACATCTGCTTCTTTGCTGCCTTAGGCAAGTAGTTAATGGCTCAATGAATGGCAGGCAATATTATACTGCACATGCACTGTCACTCAATGGGTGTGAAAGAGATCTGAATCATTGGATTGGATTGTGGCCCTGGACAGGTGCTGCCAAGTCTTGCTCTTAAACTCCCTTCCATTGCTATTTGTTTTACATGCTATACTGGACCGTTAATGAATAAGAGGCACAGGTCTCAGGCATTCTTAGATTGGTTAAGTTAGGGTTCCACTGATACTTGTCAGATAACTATTAAATATTGGTGTCAGATGTTTCAGGGGTAGGCAACCTTGGCTCTTTTATGACTCGTGGACTTCAACTCCCAGAATCCCTGAGCCAGCCATGCTGAGGGGAAAGGGAGAGGTTTCCAAGCTGAGCCATCCTGGCTCAGGAATTCTGGGAGTTGAAGTCCACGAGTCATAAAAGAGCCAAGGTTGCCTACCCCTGCTTGACTAGCCTGTCTCTAGAATTTTTGCTCATTTGGCTGAGTGGGTTTTTCACATTGGCCGAACCTTTTGCTGTACTTCTCCACTTGCATTTCATAGAGATCATCATTCAAACCACCCCAACTCCCCAATTTAACCTTAGGGTGTCAATAACATCTCAGTCTTCTTTGGGATTTTCTTTAATCAACAGTGAGCTAAAAGTAAATACTACCCCATCAAACGGCCTCCACAACTTACTGATTTTTTTTTCTTTTCTTTTTGCAGCATCAGTTTCTGTCCGAGGTGCTTCAGTGGAGAGCACAGGCAACTCCTGAGCACATGCTTTTCCTCCTGCTCAATGCCAAGGTAGAGCTGAAGTTTTGCATTTTCCAAACATTTGTGTGTTTCGAACTCCTGTGTCTTCGCACCCTTTAGCCTTTAAAAATGTTGCTGTTCTTCAGGGCATGAGATATGTTGCTTGTGGAGCTTTGTTCGTTGGTTTGGTTTCTCTCTCAGGGAATGTGTCTGTTTAGAAACATGGGATTGCCTTTCTTTTTCTTATTCCTAAACTACCTAAAGTTCAATTCAATCAATCAGTTGGACTGGATTTAGTGCTCGTTTTTGTTTTTCACATTTACAGAATAGTTGTTGTGCTGTGTCTTACTAATTATTCTTATTTACATAATTTGGAGTCCCATTTGGATTAGTTGCAGTATATTTTTAGATTGGTCATCATTTTACTGTTTTAATTAGGTTTTATGCATTGGTTATTTTACTTACTATGTTGCGTTTGTTGAAGATGTTTTTTGTTGTATGCTGGTCAGAGTCGCATTGGGTTGGGCAGCTATATAAATATTAATAAGTAAGTACTACCTCTTGACTCATATAACAAACTAAGATAAGATAAGATAACCTTTATTGTCCCTTTTTTCTGTGAACACATTGGCACACATAAAAAAATGAAATTCTGATGCCCGCTCTCAAAAGAATATATATACAGTACATGCACACACATATCACACACACACACACATTAATCACGGTCTATTTTGAATACATAGTAGAAAAAAGAGTCTTGAGGTTTAACAAGGTTAATTCTATATGGTACAAAGCTATTACAGAGTCTAGTTGTTCTGTTCTGAATACCACAAAGTTTTCTTCCAGAAGATAACAAAAAAAACCAGTCAAAGAGAGGATGTATAGCATCCCAGACAATACTGCAGATCCTGCTCAAGCATTGCTTATATGCTTTGTCCTGGATAGAAGGAAGTTAACTTTTTTTTCTGCCATCCTTACCACTCTCTGCATAGCCTTCCTGTGGAAGTATATTTCCTTCCTATGGAAGAAAATAATGGAAAGTTGTTAAAATGCTAGAAGATACAGAGGAATATATTTCAAGAAAATGATGCAGTACAGTATAAATAAGACATGTTTGCTGATGCAAATATATAGAAATAGCTTTAGTGAACCATACCAGGAACAAAACTAACACAGACTCTACCCTCACAGTGGAAGTATGATGCTAGATGATGATGATGTGCCATCAAGTCTGTGTCAATTCTTAGTGACCATGTATCTGTTCCCAACCTGATTCTCAGGTTTTCCAATGATGCAATGTTGTTACTAAAATTGAGTCCATCCACCTTGCTGTTTATCTTCTTCTCTTTCCTTCCATTTTTTCCAGCATTATAGACTTGAGACCTAGATCTTTACATGTGCCTGAAGTATGATAATTTAGGCCTAGTAATTTTTACTTTGAGTGAGAAATACTTTGAGTATTTACTATGATGCATTTGTTTATTTTCTTGGTTATCCATGGTATTCTCAAGAGTGTTCTCCAACACCGAAAACATCAATACCCATTCTATCCAGCTTTTTCAACATCCAGCTTTCACTTTTGATAGTGTGTCACAAGAAAAACAATTGCCTGCACAATTCATGCAATAGAAGAATATATTTTACACATATTCTAGATATTAACAAAAGCTCTCCAATGGCTAAATGTTCAGATAATCTTAAATAAAATGGAGACCTTGGAAAATTTAAAAAAAACATCATTGTTCTCCTTTTTGTTATTAGTCTCACTTTATAACAAGAAGGCTTTTATTATTTAAGACACGAGATAGTGTAACTTAGACAAGAAAAGTTATAGTAAAGGCGATTTAAGAAAATGTGGTTGCTGTAACTTTTCAAATCAAATTTATTGGCTGAACTCAACTTTATTACAGACCTGTTTTTAAATCCTCTTTAAACATACACAATTTTGCCATCGTTTTCATTCACATCCTTTTAGCTTGGTGTAGGTTAGCATTACTTCCATTTGAAAATGGCATAAGGCTAACTTCTTTATGCAGATATTTGAGCATGTATTTGAATCCATGTTGTAAGTCTACTATTCCCCCTTAAAACTCACGGGATTACTTTTATTTTAACTCTGATGTTATGTAGTACACTCTTAATATGAGTGACAACATACCCTGCAAAGTCATGGCCCTAATATTCCTTGAAAATAACGTTTTGCCTCTGGTTACTGAAGAGAGTATCTTGTCTTTGCTTCTGAAACAATTTATCCAAGCTCTGCAGATTTTTAGAGTTTGTTTGTTTTTATTCTCTGCAAGGGAGCCCCTGTTTGTACAGCAACTTGCCTACAGCTGCACAAGCGAGCGGAGCGAATTGCATCAATTCTGTATGAAAAGGGACATCTCAATGCTGGTGATAATGTGGTGCTACTCTATCCTCCTGGTAAGGAAAATCTAGAGTTGGGGGAATTTACATGGGATTCACTGTATTTTGCCATGTCTAAGCTGCAAACTTTCATGAGGCACTGAACTGCAGGAAATGTGTTGCAGCTTTTAGAAGTGAAGTATTTGCTACGTTAAGTTGAAATTTACGAACTGTAAAACAAATTAGAGCAGGAAATTGTTTAGATTATGAAGAGGTGGCTAAGGCAGTGACAGTGAACCTTTTGGGTTTAGTGTGTCAAACTTGAAAAATTCCTAATAACTGTGTGTCATCCCCCCCTACCGTGAACAAAAAAATAAACAATTGTTTACATATCCATTTATTTCTTTAAAAAATACAGACAAATTGGGACAGGTCTGGATTGCACGAAGCCTTTGTTCTTGAAGCAGCTTAGGAGAATGCCCTTCTGTGGCTTCTGCAGCCTCTGAGAACCACATGAAAACATGCCTCATTTCTGTGTGATTTTTCAGAAGCTCTGGAGACTTTCAGAGATTGTGCAAGAGCACACCCCATTCTCACGCAGCCTCTAAAAATCATAGTTATTGACAAGTGTTAGTGAATGCTAGTGTGTCACCCAAAACATCATGGCATGACACACGTATCATGGATTCACCATCACTGGGCTAAGGGGATCTGTTTGTGCTTCTATCAAATCACACTGATGCTTTTTCATTACATTTCAAATCTCTTTGTCTACCTCATATTCTAACTGAAGCAGTAAGACACAGGTTATAGTCCCAAGAATTCTCAAAAACTTTCTTAATTTTTAGCTGTATGTTTTAACTATATTCATATTCTTTATGCTGGAAATGTTCAGTGCTTGCTTGGACAAATGCCATTTAATGATTATGAATTCGCTACATAAACTCATTTCTCTTGGGTTTTTCTGGAATGTCCATTTCCATTAAGAGCAAAGTTTTCCAGGTTTCTGTTTTGATTGACTGAAACAATTTGTAAAGGAGACTCCTTGGAAGAAACACCCTTTTGAATGGTTCTTTTCTCCCTTCCTCTTTCATGGTGGTTTATTTGTCTTATTTTAACTTATCTTTTGTTTTCTATAGTCAAGTTCCTTCAGTCCCCCTCCTTGGCTTACTGTCCTATTTGAAAACTTTGTCTTAGAGCCGTGACTCTTAAGAAGCTTTCAGCAAAAGCAAAAATAAAGGGAGAAGGATGATGTGACACTGCTTTTTGGTCCTCTAGGTATTGAACTCATTGCAGCATTTTATGGCTGTCTCTATGCTGGCTGTATCCCAGTGACTGTCCGGCCTCCACATGCTCAGAACCTCACTGCCACTTTGCCCACTGTGCGGATGATAGTAGATGTGAGTATAAGACCTGAGCGCAAGCTGTTGCATCTAAATCAGTAGTTCTCGCCCGTTGTCTTAGCGTTGTTGCTTACTGTGCATCAGCTGAAATAGAGAGGGTATTAATTCTGTGGGAAATTTGTTTTCTGTTACGATGCAGGTAGTCCTCAGGTTATGATAGCCATTAAGACTGGAATTGCCACTGCTAAGCAACATGATGGTAAAGCGCTAGATCGTGTGGCCGTTTCACTTAACGATGGCAGTTCCAGTAGTCCCGATTGTGTTGTTAAGTGAAGTCCACGCGGTTCATTAAATGAGGACCTCACGTGATCGTGACTTGACTTCCTGCCAGATTCCTCACTGACCTTACTTGTGGAAAGCCAGCAGGAACATCAGAAATCAGGGGATAGTGTAATAGCCAGAACTCCAAGCACTGTTCATAAGCCCCCCTCATTCAGCACCCTTGCAAGTTTGGATAGTTGGTTGTAACCTGAGGACCACCTTATGCTAATTATCACTGAGATACTCTAGAAATATTAATACTGCTGTCCTGTAATTCATGAATCATTAAATAACAGAGCAGTTAAGTTTCTTGTGTTCAGGTTAAAAGCCTTTTGCCTCCCTAATCCTCTTGGAATTTTCTTAGGTATATTTATCCTTTAAAACCACACATTAAGGGGAAACATTGTTATATTTTAGTATAGAATGATAATATTTTCTGCCTAATGATTTGATTTTCTTCCCTGTAATCCAAAGATACAAATGATACTGAGATAAAAATCAAAATTGGATTTTCATTGAATTCAAGATCTTTACTGGACAGAAATGATACATTTGTTAGAAAATCAAACAAAGTTCTTAAAATGTAAGGTAATAGAGAGGATACACCTGCAGAGTGGGGCTAATACAAAGCTATGGTATGAAGAAAGCAAGAATGTGTGAAATATTTTACGTGCTAAAAATGCACTCTATGAATGATTGATGACAATGCTGTCAAGAATGATAATCAGATAATCAATCATACTTATTGAATGTATTTTAGGTGAGCAAAGCTGCCTGTATTCTCACAAATCAAATTCTGATGAGACTACTGAGGTCCAGAGAGGCGTCGACTGCTGTTGATGTAAAAACCTGGCCAACCATCATTGATACAGGTGACAGACCCTGCTAGGCCATCAAACTCATTCCCAGGATTTCCAAGCAATTATAATGCACATCCGAGCAGGAGCTAGCTCTGTTTTATTTAGAATTGTGTTGTTTGGCTTTGTTGCATTTCAACATGTCATTCTTACGTTACTCCCCAGACTAAATTCAACAGTAATCTCTTTTCTTCTTTATACGTTCCAGATGACTTGCCCAGAAAGCGGCTACCTCAGGTCTACAAACCACCGACTTCAGAAATGTTGGCATACCTGGATTTTAGTGTATCCACAACAGGGATGCTTACAGGAGTAAAGGTATAAGAGTACTTGATGTGTTGGGATGCCTGTGTTATATAGCTAGAGCTCTAAAATATTTCTGGTTGTTTGTTTATAGATTTAAGAGGGCATCATATTTTTATCTGGGCATAAAAATCGCTGAATGGGTAAAGTCAGATATTAGAAACTGTAATGCATGAAGGAGAGCAAAATCATCTTGCTATGGCTTTGAATTTTAAAGGCACTTCAGTGGTTCCCATAGCTTTGACTGCAAGATATGAAAGACAGTGGGGTGGCATATGATGGAACACCATTTCTCAGTGAACAATGCTCATGATCTTCTAATAAGCTGGATGGAATAAGAAACAGCTTGGACTACCAAAGAGGGTGTGGCAGATATACAAAGACAGGGCAAGTTCCCTTCCGTGCTTAGCTAGATATACAAGGACAGGGCACGTTCCCTTCCATGCTTAGCCTTCACTGTTCCTGGTTAACGGTGGGAACAGAAGTGTCGTCATGTACTAGGCCTTCTTTTTGAATAGTATTGGCTCATTCTCTGGCCTGTTCTCATGGGTATAGTGTAACCCCATCCAGGAGTAAGGATGAAAAAACCCTGGAGGCTCCCATTAGCATAAACAACATATTTGAAATATAAACTGGTAATAGTAATACTTTCATGTGTAATACTAAGGTGCAGTGCAAAAATCCGAGTTTAATTTCTTGTTTAGTTCATGCTCTGAGTTTTATTTGACAGCATGGTTCCTGGCAGAGTATGGAAATATTTTTCCTTTTTTAAAATAAAAAAAAAGTTATATAGATAAATAAGACAAAAGCAGGATGAATAATTTAAAAGAATTGATTCTGGGTTTTGCTGATGCAATAAAATAGCTAACCTATGGTTTTCAATATCGACACCACGTAATATATGGCTACTCAGATACTTAGGTATAGTGATACTTTTATCATATTCATATACATGTTATTATGCTCTTCTATCGTGCAACTGGGATTCAGTCCCCCCTCCTTTTTTCTCTCTCTCTCTCTCTCTTCTTCTTATTCCCACAGATGTCCCATGCATCAGTCAGTGCCCTCTGTAGAGCCATAAAGCTCCAGTGTGAGCTGTACTCCTCACGGCAAATTGCCATCTGTCTTGATCCCTATTGTGGGCTCGGCTTTGCACTTTGGTGTCTTTGTAGGTAAGAGTCAGGATGTAATTAGAACTGGTGGGCTTGCAGAAGATAAATCTTTGCTTGACATAAATTAGAACAGCTACCTTAATCCAGTGAAATGCCTGATTGAAAGAGCTGGGGGATTGGATATCAAATGAAATAGATCTAATTCACATGATAGGAATCTCAAGTAACATGCAGTTTCATTAGCTAAACGTCCAGTATTTTCCTGATGATGATTTAAACATCACAAGAGATTCTGCACCTTTTTTACCTGATTATCCTATATCCCATGTATTGACATTCAGTCAATCAATCAAATCTTTATTACGGTCATAGACCAGCGTAAGGAAAATAGGGTGGTATTGACATTTTTTTTCCTTTGTCCTTGGGGAATCATTGTTACATGAATAGTAAGTCTGAATCCAGTACATGTCAGTATCAGATGTTCTACTTTATTCTGCAGATTTAAACAAATAAGTATGCAACCACATAAGAAAACTTCCATCGCTTCCAAATGCGAATGCAATTTGGTATATACATTTTTCAAATATGTATGCATTTATGCATGTTTTTGAAGTGATGTTTCAAAGTGGTGAATATTAGAAATCACAATTCAGTTTTTTTCTTAGGATATATTTCAGATTGGCAAGTAACATTTTTCTTGAGAGGGAAGATCGTTGGTGGATTTGCCTAATAATATCTAATTGGCTGTAGATTTAATAACAAAATGTTTAATTCACTATGAAATAATTCTTGTAAACAACAAATTTATCACAATTAATTATTGAAACTAATTATTGAAGTCACTCTTTTGTAAGCATGAGATAGGAAAACTATCAACAAATCAGAAATGGCTTGTCTCTTGTAGCAGGGCAAATAACTAGTTTAGAAACAATACTGAAATCAGCTTGATCATAAGCTTATTTGAGAGCATGCAATGATATACCTTTTAAATATCCCATATTTGTCACTCAACTGCCTTTAACAGTAGTGAGTCCGTTATTTAGGCAGTCATAATTACAGTAATGAATGAGAATGAATTACTAATCTATCTTGGATTGGGGTGGATAAGGAAGTATGTTTGCACAGAAAAGGATAAGCAGTTTGAGGCTGAGGATAATATTTTAGACTGCCAGGTTAATAAAATCAATGTATAGTTGATTAGTGTTCTTCTCTTGCAGTGTGTATTCTGGTCATCAATCCATTTTAATTCCTCCTATGGAGTTAGAATCCAATCTTTTCCTGTGGCTCTCCACTGTAAGCCAGTATAAAATACGGGATACTTTCTGTTCCTATTCTGTTATGGATATGTGTACCAAGGGGCTTGGGAATCAGGTGGAAGTATTAAAGGTAAGAATCCTCTCCCTCCACCCCCATCCTTTTAAACATATTTTAGAAGGTCTAATTTAGTATTCAGATTATTAGAACAGATTATTAGGGTCTACTGATCTTGTAAATACAGATCATCCTTGTTTAACAACCATTTGCACTGAAGGAGACTTGTGGCTAGTTCTAGAAGTTGTGGCCATTGTAGTGTCCTCACAGACACGTGATCGCAGTTCAGATGCTTGGCAACTTCCTCGGTATCTGGAAATATTGAATTTATCAGATCTGAACACCCTAAATTTTTTTCAAAAAAATCTTTGGAATTGTCTGTATTCCTAGATGCTTCTTAGGTCTTTGATTAGGACTTGAATTATTAAGTTTCCACCAATCTTAGACTGTGAATCTAACTCTAGATTACCCACACTAATAATAATAATAATAATAATAATAATAATAATAATAATAATAATAATAATAATAATAATAATAATAATAATAATAATAATAAAGTTTGCCTCGCTACCTTAAAAACACAGTTTTAAAAAAATGTATAGCTCAGTTCAATGAGAAACGTTCTGCATGCATCTTATGTTATGTTGAATGATCTTCCAGTCTGTTTTCTTTGAGTTTTCAGTTTAGATGAAAAATAGCGTTCAGTTCTTCTGTAGTCACATAAGTGTATGTCATAATCATGTACCATACTAGATAGTAGAGGGGTTTGACTTTTATAACAATGTAAGACAATAAGCTTACTATTGAAAACATAAATATTTTTATTTATTAAGCTTGTTATATAGCTTCAATACAGGTAGTCCCAGACCTATGACCACAATTGAACCCAAAATTTCTGTTGTTAAGCGAGAGAGTTGTTAAGTGAATTTTGCCCCATTTTATCACCTGCTTTGCTGCAGTTGTTAAGTGAATCACTGCAGTTGTGAAGTTAGTAACACAGTTGTTAAGTGAATCTGGCTTCCCCATTGACTTTGCTTGTCAAAAGGTCACAAAAGATGATCCCATGACCCCAGAACATTGCAACTGTCATAAATAAGAATCAGTTGCCAAGCATCTGAATTTTGATCACGTGATCATGGGGATGCTGCAACGGTCATAAGAGTGAAAAATGGTCATAAGTCACTTTTTTCAGTGCCGTTGTAACTTTGAACGGTCACTAAATGAACTATTGTAAGTTGAGGTAGTTTTTTTAATTTTTGTTAGTTTAATTCTTGTTAAAATTGTTTTTCTATTTTTTCCTTTTACTAAATATGTGTATATGCAGCAGTACAACAAAGATATTAACCTTAAGTTAATCTCAAGACTGAAATCCTGATAATTCAATATGTACTTTAATCTGAAGCATTTTAAACACTCTATTTGAAATCAAAATGTCAAATAAGTTTATGCTTGTAATAGTGACATCCTACTTGTAATTAATACTGATTATTGATTATTGATAAAATATTATTTTCTCTATTTTCACCACTAAGTTATCTAAATAATAGAATGTCAGTAATTTTCAATTAGTATTGGACAAATATCATTGTTTCAGAAAATACAATGTATTTAGATTTATAGCAAAAGAAAAAAAATGGAAATATTTGTTAAAATTAAATTTGGCAACTCTTTTTTTCAGGATGAAATAATTGACTTTATCAGGGATGACAAATTATAGTTCATTGTTAAATGCAGGGACATGGATTTAAGTGTGCATCTCCACCACTTTTTGTGCTCCTTAGCCAAGTGATGATATTTTATATCTGATCATCATTGTGATCATCTGCAATTTTTTCATTTCATCTGATATGAGAAATTGTGCTTTGTTAAAAAAAACAAAACTCAGAGTTTTGGTATCTTGCTTTACAGATAAAAGCTGTGTAATCCAGTTTCTTGTATTGACATGAAAAAGGAAATTGCAGATTGATCCAAATTGTCATTAGAACTCTTAAAGATCCATCTTCTTTGCATGTAAAGGGAGAAGAAAGGGAAACATGGAATCCCAGGGCTCTGGCAATAGCAGTGTTGCACGATACAGTATGTTGTTAGATTTGGTTGGTGCAAAATTCTCTGCTGATTATCCACTGTTCCCTGAGCAATGGGGCTGTTGAAACACCTGTCCAATGGTTTGTTTATAGTTAAATATGGCATAAAATTAAAGACTTGGGCTTCTTCCGCCAAAATTAACAATACAAGGAATTATACTTTTTGCTCTGGGCTCCAGTCAGAACTAGCACATGTCCTGTACTTGAACAAAATGTTACCTGTAAACAAATATGCTGTACTTGTTCTCTAGTTCATGGGAGGAGCTGGAAGCAGTGTTCATATTAACCAAGCTTAAGCATAGTTTAGCATTGTAGGTGAATTAGATCTGTATGTTCAGTTTTAGCTGTATGTTGATTTTCCTCCACAGAACTTTGCAAGTTAATTGTATCTAAGCCAGTAAAGATTGTTAGAATAGATTGTTAAATAGAAAATATAAATAAATTCCTAAAATGAAGTATAGTGCATGGTATATTATGTTCTTAAAAACTATGCTGGATAGCAGCTGATGTTTTGGTTTTAAGGATTTGAAAAATTGAGGGTTCACTTAAATATTTGGATGTTGGAGTTTTTGTTAAGAGTTGAGTTAAGAGGGACATGTCACTCCTATTGTTAGAACTTTTTCCCTGCTACTTTAGATCAGTATCTTGCTATTGATTCAAACAAATATAGTGTTTTAATTATCCAACAGCCCTTGATGGTACATCCTGATCTGATTTTTTTAAATACAGTTCATATCTTTTGATCCTTTACTTTTTTTTTCTTTTAAACCTAAAGAATTGCAAACGCTTTGGACCTTCACATAGCGTTTTCATATAGGTCTAAATGACATGGGAAGAGTACTATGACTACATCTTGCTTGGTTCTATATTTCTAAAGAACTACATAAATCAAAAAGATGGGCACGTGTTAGTGATTTCCTAATGGTTTGCCTAGTGTTAAAAAACCAACAGCCTGATTATGTTTCCTAGATGATTATTAGAGCAAATGAACTCCAAGTACTTGGATATTAACTGGAGCATTGATTAATGTTATCCCTGCCTGTTAGATATACTGTAATTTTCCCCCCAATAATTTTAACCTTGTGTATTAACAGGCAAGAGGTATCAACTTATCAGGAGTCCGGACTTGTGTAGTGGTGGCCGAAGAACGCCCACGTGTTGCTCTTACTCAGTCTTTCTCCAAGCTTTTCAAGGACATTGGTCTATCATCTCGTGCGGTCAGCACCACGTTTGGGTCAAGAGTCAATGTAGCTATCTGTTTACAGGTAACAGTGAAGATTTGCTTAGATTTATTTTTTGAAATCAGGGGCTCTGCACACTAGCAGAATTCTCAACCTATTCTAAATCTGTTTGTGCTGGGGGGGGGTTGAGCCTGAAGAATTGTGAATGCTGATTTGCAGGGTTTTTTTTTAATTTACATGGACTTATTCATACTGTATATTGCTTATTTTTTTAAAAAAAATATTATCAACCCTTTTTGTACTGTAAAAGTAAACATATGGCTATTTATACAGGGAAACTCTCTGGGAGACTACTTTTATAGATTTCCTGTGGTTAAACAGAAATAAATAATTAGATTAATAAAACATTAAAAAAATCAGTTTTTCACTAATATTTTCCAAACTGAAAAAGTAAAGAGGACTAAAAGTTGTGGAGCTTCTCTCAAGAAAACCTTCGTTAAAGTATTTTTGGATTTGCAGCAGAAACATTTCCTTTTATGTTATATCTCCTTATTTGATAGATTGGGCACTTACGGATCTAGTTTGCATTGTTCTCATTGAAAGTGCCTTTAATTATCACTCATTGGCAGCAGAAAATATGACACGTTTAAAAATAATCTCTGTTATTATTATAGGGAACCTCAGGGCCTGATCCAACCACAGTTTATGTGGATCTGAAATCATTACGACATGACAGGTACTATTATTTTTGTTATATTTCATTTTTGACTGAATTCTATAAGAACAGAGCACTTAGAGTAGGAGTGTGCAAGATGGTTCACTTCCTCTCAGCAGTAACCAGCAGACACCAGCTTATGAGTTGTAGTTCAGAATTTCTGGAGGTTGGTAGATTGCTTATCCCAGATGTACATACAAATTTCTTGATTTCCCCAAATACGATTGTATTGGAACAAATCAGTATGTATCATTTATATTATGCTAGGCATATGGTGGTACCAATCCATCCAGTTTCTAACATTCTATTAGTTACGGATTTATTTTCTTTCTCACCAATAATTAAATTGCCCTAATATTTAACATTCTAGAAAATTACCTTCCCCCACAAAGAGAATAGCCATTCCTTCTGAATTTGCAGAATTCCTAAGATTTCAGGTATCAGTGAATCAGTTAGATTATTTTATGAACATTTTTTTCTTCTCTGATGAGTATGAACTGGGGACATCTACAGTTCAATTCTGTTGCTATTCTAGGCACTTTAGAGTATTATACAGGCATACACATTCTGGAAGTTCTAAAGCAGGGGTCTTCAAACTTGGGCCTTTTATGACTTGTGGACTTCCAATTCCCAGAATTCCTCAGCCAGCATGCCTGGCTGAGGAATTCTGGGAGTTGAAGTCCGCAAGTCATAAAAGGGCCAGGTTTGAAGACCCCTGTTCTAAAGACAACCCTATAATTAATGGCTAGTCAATTCAGATTGTTAAACAGACATTCAGTAGTTAAAACTAGCAATTTACATAGAATCTTAGAGGTACTGTAGGGAGAGAAAAATGGCACTGGGGCTGGGGGGAGGGATTCTTTAGCATAATAATTGGTGGTTAGACAGGATATTGTCTGTGATTGCCCTGACCAAAAGGCCTTGTTGAAGTTAACAATAGCAGGATGTTACTCTGGAATTCTCTGGTTTTTCAGTCTCTTCCTTTACATTCATTATTACAAAATCATAATAGGGATCTGTGTGTGTGTGCGTGTGTGCATGCACATGCGTGCACACTTGTTTCCCCATTTGGCTCAAAGAAGACAGTTCAAATTGACTTACATTTTGCTTGGTGGCTCTTGCTTTTATTTTACCCAGAGAATAGGAAGCATTAGGATAATTTACAAAGGAGTGGAGGAATGCTAGCTCACATATGCTTCACATATGAATTTTAATGATGGAATGTATTTTCCATTGGTTTTGCCAGTCTAGATCAGAAACTCTCCTTTGAAATGCAGGCTATCATTTTCAATATGTGACATTTTTCTCACATTTCTTCCTGTTGGCGACATGTAATAATACCCAACACACCAAACCTCTTCCCATCTCCTATAATCACATTTACGTCCTAAGATTAGCTGAGGGCAATACATTTCAACAGAGCAGAAGCTAAGAAATCAACAAGAATCAAAAGCTGTCTCTAATTGGGTTAAAATATTATTGGTTCTCATAACTTTCTTAATTCTTATGTGAGAATGAAAAGACAGATAAAGACATATTTATTACATTTACATACCATCCGTTTCATTACTCAATTTCAAGTCAACTTCCCAAAATCACTGTCAAGTGACTTTGGGTAGCTGACAGCACAGTCATATGCTGAGACATAAAGAAAAATACTGTATTTATAAGGAGATCCAAGAATAAAATACCAATTAATGAAGAAAAACATAAATTTGACAAGGTTATTTTATAAAACATGCAAGAATATGTTTGAGTAATGGCATTTTCTCTGGGTATAAAAAAAGGACGTTTCCAGAGAATGCCGGTATTTGCTTACCTTACTTATCCAAAGAACTTGCCAGATGTACATTGTGCAAATGTTCTTCAGCTAAATCTGCCATTATCTTGCTAATATCCAACTATCAGCCAAGCAAATGGAGAGATTGAAGGGATTTTGTCAATGCTATTTGTAATGATCATCCTTGGGTTTTTAATTTCTTGAGTCGTGACTGAACATTACTAAAAACTTCAAAGTTGAATGCATTTGGATGTAAATTAGTTGTGGGTGCGTTGAACAAATCAGGTAACAAAAATGATTTATATTAAGATAAAAGTAGTTGTTCAAAAATAGTAGTTGATTTAAACTTTGAACCCAACCCACTTCACAGGGTATTGTAGGGAAAATAGGAGGAGGAAGAAATATTAGATATATTTGCTACTTTGAGTTATTTATAAACAATAATAAAGGTGGGATGGATGGATAGAAAAATAGATAGATAGATAGATAGATAGATAGATAGATAGATAGATAGATAGATAGATAGGAATGTAATTGATTATTCTGTGGTGATATGAATTGAAACAAAATGGAAGAAAAATCCTTTCTCTTTAGTGTTATTAGTGTTATGTTCAGAATATTAAAGAGTAATTTAAGTATCTTGTAATGAAGGTTCTTAAATCATAAATATATGTCTGTGTTAAATTTTTAAATCTATCTCCAGAGTGCGGCTAGTTGAAAGAGGTGCTCCCCAGAGCCTCTTACTCTCCGAGTCAGGCAAGGTAATAATACATCAGTTTGTGAATCTTTGTGAATCATTTGCATGCAACCCAAAGTAAGGAAACAATAGAATTCAGTCAGCATTTGTGATTTGGGGTGTACAACTCCTGTGTAGGACAAAAAAACCCCTCCTTTCTACAGATATATTATAGGTTCTTCCCTAATGGCCATTTAAAATATTAATTTTTCCTTTGTTAAGTAATGAGTTTGAAGTACTGTTTCTTGTGTCTGGCCTTCTTAAGACAATAGATGGAGTTGGAGATGGGCAATAATGCTAAAATAATTAAGAATATAACTCAGGTTAGATCTAGATAGCTCTGATGGAAATGGAGGAGTTGGAAGAATTGCTTGAGCTAAATTAAATCAGCAGAGATGTCAAAGTTGGAAATGCTTTTAGGCTATAAAATACACAGTTGTTTGTAATGCATTTACCAACACAAGGGATAAGTCATATCCCCAAGAAGTTGAAAAGACAGACTTGTTTAAAGTGTTTAGTTAGTATAATACAGATACCAATATCTCTCCCCCCCCCCCCCAACCCCACTTCCTTCTCTCAGATATTGCCTGGAGTCAAAGTGATAATTGTTAATCCTGAGACCAAAGGACCTGTTGGTGATTCACACCTTGGAGAGGTATGTGCTATTGCTATTGCTATTGCTACTTTACAAAATTATATTTAACCCAACCAATCTTTATGCTCCCAATATGTATCCAATATGCATAGTAATGTCTAATAGAAAATAGAAGAGAATATAGTGCACAGATGATTACACTGTAATTACACTCTGACACTGTAATTCAAAAGAGACAAAATAAAAAAGTAAGAAATAGAAGATTCGTGTTTTATCACCTTCATAGATCTGGGTGAATAGTCCTCACACTGCTAGTGGATACTATACCATCTATGATAATGAAACCCTCCAAGCAGATCATTTCAATACCCGCCTGAGCTTTGGTGATGCTGCTCAAACTCTCTGGGCACGAACGGGATACCTTGGCTTTGTTCGACGGACTGAACTCACAGCTGCCAGTGGAGGTAGGACAAACTACTCCTCTTTTCTTTAGACAATGTCCATTTTTACTGATGACATGAACATAAAGTTAATGTTACAAGAAAAACTGTTAGAACAGTTTCCCACAAATCAACGTGAATATATATATATATATATATATATATATATATATATATATATATATATATATATATATATATATATATATATATAT